CACGTGGCCGCTTCTGAGCCACGCCATAAACAAAGAGGGGACTGGGATCGGCACAAGGAAAGGGCCCCTGCTCCTCAGGGTGGCCGGTGCTCACAGGGAGCCCCCCGGCATCACGTCCACCCCGGCTCCTCCTGCTGCCACCCGGCAGGGATGTGCGCGCTCCGGGACGCGCTCCTGGAGCAGGACGATCCCTGCCCCGTGGCACTCCCGGTACCCGCTGCGATGGCACGGGGGCATCCAGCACATCACAGCCTCGGGGTGAAGCAGCCCGGCCCTCGAGGCTTCGTGCTGTGGATGAGGATGGAAGGAGACCTGGCCGTGCCCGCAGGACCATGGCACTGGGGGCTGCTCTGCGCCGTCTCCGTCCCAGCCCGCGGCCGGGGCTCCTGCGAGGCACCGGTTGGGCAAAGGGCAGGGCAGGGCCCTGCTGCGGCCGAGCCTTCCCCGTGTTTGTTTGCTTTCAGCATCCACAGGACCGCAGCTGCCTCTCGGATCCGGCACTGCAGCGCCAGGAACCGGGAAATAAAACCGGCTGGGAACAAAGCCCTCGGGTTCCTGCCTGAGCGGAGGAAAACGCAGGCTGAAGCGAGAGAAATTTTGAAGAATTTGCAAAATTCTCACTGGCAGCAAGCAAAATATTACTAACGGTGAAAGAATTTGGTTACGGCATATGTTTCCAATGGGTGCTTCCTCCTCACGGTCACCCCCTCTGCCCGAACCGTGACACACGGGGCTGGCAGCTCGGCACGGGGCGCAGCCCGGCCCCACGGGAGGCTCCTGGTGAGCAGGGCTGGGCAGGACCCAGGGCTGGGGCTGTCACAGGAGGCTCTGCACGGGGCTGGGGCTGTCACACGCACGGCTGTCGGGCACAGGAGTTCCTGCAGGGCCTGACCTGCCCCCCCCGGGGTGACACACGGTGCCCACGGGGGAGGAGGGCCGCCCACGGCGGGGCTGAGTTTTCCATCCCGCCCCCAGTGACGCCGTGGGGTTACCAGCTGCAGAGGTGAGCCGGTGGAAAGTTTTACCCCAGATGCTTCTTGCGCCGTAGGAGGCAGTTTCGGAGCATCACCCCCCCCAGGGCCATGCCTGGAGCCCCCCACGGCCACCCCACAGCACCCAGAGGAGGACAGGCTGCGGTGTCCCCACCGCCCCATGCCACCAGCCGTGCTGCCAGGGCAGGGCTGGGTCGCACGGAGGAGCTGGAGCCCACTCAGCACCACGCAGCCCCCCCTGCATGACCACAGGACTTCTCCCCCCTGACCCACAGGAGCAGAATCACAGAACGCAGCCCAGGACGGGCCGGGTTGGCGGGGACCTCAAGGCCCCCCTGGTTCTGACCCCTCACCATGGGCACGACCCCTCCTCCAGCCCCCGCTGCCCCCAGCCCGGCCTTGAGACCCCCGGGGATGGGGCAGCCCCAGCTCACCGTGTCCCATCACCGCAGGCCCTGATAAAGACCCCTCCCCAGCTGTACCTGACATTGCAGGGGGCGTCCCGAGGGCAGGCAGAGGGCCCCGTGTCCCCCCCTCACCCCACTGCCACCAGCACCTCCGGGAAGGGGGCAGAGAGACCGGTGCCAGAGAGCTGCAGAGGCTGAGGGCTGCCCTGAACCCACAGCGGGCAGGGGGCACAGGGGCTGCCAGGTGCCCGCACACCGACCCACAGCACCCAGGGGGTCTCCTCCAGGACGAGGCCACCCAAAAAAAAGATGAGCCCCACATGCAGGATGGAGGTGTCACAGTTCCCGGTGTGGCTGGATGTCCCTGCACGGGGCAGGGTCAGGATGGGAGATGCCCCCAGGCAGCGTGTGCACAGATCACGTCCTCTCCTCCCGTGCTGCCCCCCAAATATCAGTGTGGGGAGCAGAGCTCGCCGCCAGCACCCATGGGCTGGGCTCCCCCCCGGTGCCCGCCCGGCACAGAGGGACGCGGTGGGACACCTCCAGCCTCTCCGGCACCAGCTGCGTGTCCTCCTCCAGAGTGCCTTGTGAAGGAGAACACCACGGCACATTTTAGGAGCAGGCAGGAGTCACGGCGAGCCCAGAGCCCTCGGAGCGAGAAAACCAGCGAGAAAAACCGTTCGGATGGCCGGGAGGAGCGCGTGTCCTCCAGCAGCTCCGCGCGCAGCCTCCACACCGAGAGCTTTTTCCGCTCTGCTGCCAAGTCCTAGAGCAGGATCCTGCTTTCCTGCTGCAACAGCTGAAGGGCTCGGCACAAACAAAGCACAGAGCAGCCCGGCGAGAAGCGCTGCGCACGGAGGGCATGAGGGCAGGAGGCTCGGAAGGGCAGCTGCAAATTTGGACACGGGCAGAGACAGCAGCGCGCTCACCAGGGCTCGTTCTGAGCGGCGTTTCCTAAACCCCCCCGATTTTATTGTTGTTTTCCAGCTCCCCACAGGGAAGGGGCTGTGGTTTGCTCAGTGCTCCGTACAGAAATCCCAAAGAAACCCCAAAGAGAGCCCTCGGCAGCGCTCGGCACGCCCTGAGGCCGCGCTGCTCCGCACAGATCCGGCCCCATGCAGCCCACAGGGGACAGAGCGAAACCTCCCGGCCCTGGGGGCAGCAGGCGGGCAGGAGGCCCGGCCCCACAGCAGCCCCGTTCCTCCCCGTCCGTGGGGCTGTGAGAGCCCGGGGGGCTGAGAACAGCCCGAGAGAAAGGCGAGCTGTGGGGGCAGGACAGGAACAGCCCCTGGATGAGCGGGGCCCTTCCCTCTGCTGGCCCCTCGGCCGAGCACACGAAGCCAGCAGGAGCTGGGGGGGCGATCCCAGGGCTCGGTGCGATCCCACAGCCCGGAGGGGAAGGGGGAAATCAGCCGGACCCCTGCGTGGTGCACACCCGGAGGCTCCCACACGGCCCTTCCCGGTCAGCCAGCGCATTTCTCATCCCAGTTCCCGACCCCTGGCTCCTGTCAGAGTTACCGACCCCACCAGGACAGCCCCAGCCCCGGGCAGGCCACCACGACCCCGCACGGTGCGTGCCGGGGGGGCCAGGCCCTTGGCAGCCCCGAGATGTTAACCACAAGCCGGGGGCTGCAGCGGGCTCCCCCGCCAGCCCCGCTTCCTGCCTCTCCCCAGCCCTCGCGGCGCCTCCGCTCGCTTTCGGTTTTGCTCCCAGGAAGGCACCACGAGCAAACGAGCGGTGCCTGGGGACAGCACGGAGCCACCGGGGTCCCCTTCGCTGCCACCGACCTGCCCCCATCTGCCCGCAGACCCCATTGGTGCTCGGGGGTCTCGCAGGCAGAGCCGAGCCCCTTCCCCAGCTGCTTGAGGGTCTCCCCACACCGCAGCAGGACCCCCGAGCCCCCCCGGAGGTGCTGGCAGCAGGTAGCCGGGGCGGCAGGGAGGGACTGCACAGCCCTGATGGGTCCGCCCCGACCTGCGGGGCAATTAGTCACTGGGGGGGGCAATTAGTCACTGGGGGGGCCTCCCTCCTGGGAGGTGGCGCAGGAAATGGGCACGGTGACACCAAGTATTGCTGCCACGGGCCCAAAATCAGATCGGGGTCACAAAGGTACCGGACAGATACCGGCCAGGCTGCGCTTCCGTGGCACTCACAGCCCTCACCAGGGGCTCCTGCTCCAAACCCCCCCGTGTGCTGCCAGGGAGGGCAGCTGAGCCCCGCAGCCGGGATGGAGAGCTGCCTGCCCCGCTGTCACTGCTGGTGCTGACGTCTGCAAGGTGCCACCGGTGCCGTCCCCAATTCCTGGCCAAGGTGGCCTCCAGCTCAGCGCCAGGGGCACAGCTGTGTGCTGGGAGCCCCTCCGTGTGCCCTGTGCTCTCCCCTCCTCACTTTGCAGCTCTGCAAGCAGCCGGCTGTCCGTCTGTCTGTCCATCTGTCCGTCTGTCCGTCCGTCCTGACAGCCAATTCTCGTGCCTAGGGCGATGCTCAGGCTGCACCAGCAGGGAAAACGCAGCCCAGGCTCATGTAGCAGAGCCCAGTGCCACCACACAGCCCGGCCACGAAGCCACCCGCAGAGACAGTGCCCGGGGACCCCAGGCCCCAAAGTACCAGCGCCTCCAGCCCCGCTGTGCTGAACGGTGAGGTGAGCAGAATCGTTAATTAAGGCTCATTAATTGAGGCTCGTTAATTGCTGACGGGTAACGGGGCTGCCCACTGAGCACAGGCAGGTCCCGGGCAGCACCACAAGGACCGGAGCTGATCTCTGCCTTCTGGAGCCCCGGTTCCCGAGGGCGGGCAGCGGGTGGCCGTGACACCGGCCCCCGCCACGGCACCGCCACCACCACCGGCAGCTCCGGTACCGGCACCGGGCTGGGCAGGACGGAGCTGGAGGGGGAACTGGGGGGATGGAGGGAGGCACAGTGCGGCCGCACGGCGCTGCCACGGCACCACGGGGCCAGCATCGGCCCCGTCCCTGCACCACGCACAGGGACAGGGCCCGGTGCTCCCGGTACCGGGGGGGGAAGGCAGCCGAGGAAGGCACCGGGAGCCCCGGGGCTGCTGCTCCCAGCGGCCGGGTGCCGGGTGCCGGTGCCTGGTGCTCCGAGCCAGGCTGGGGATGGGCCCCCCGGGCCCCCAGCTCCCCGCCGGGGCAGGCCGGGCCCGGTCCAGTCCCCGCAGCCCCCGGGGGTGCGAACGGGGCCTGGCAGAGCCCGGTGCCGGTACCGGGAGCAGCGGGGGGGGGGCTGCGGGCGGGGGGGCTGAGGGCAGCGGCACGGCCCCGGTACCCCGGCCCCAGCCCCGGCCCTGCCCCGGGGGTCTCCCGGTGCCCTCCCCCCCCCAGGCCCCGCCCCGGGGAGCTCCGGGAGCCGCCCCCGGGCCCGGCCCCGGTACCGGCCGCGGGCCCGCCCCGCCGCCCCGCCACGTCGCCACCCCCCCCGCTGCTCCCCCCCATCCCCCTCAGTCCCCCCGGTCCCCCTCATCCCTCCTCATCCCCCCTCATCCCCCCCCTGTCCCCCCGGTCCCTCCCGGTGCCCCCCGGTCCCGGTCCCTCCCGCGCCCCTCCCCCGCGGCGTTGGCTGCCAGCGGCGGCCCCGGGCTCACCGCGCTTGTCCGCGTCGTAGCCCACGAGCACGAAGTAGTCGGCCAGGCGGGCCATGGCGGCGGGCAGGGCCGGGCCGGGCCGGGCCGGGCCGGGGGAGGCGCCGCGCTCACAGCCCCGCTCCCGCCGCCGCCGCCGCCGCCCCGACCGCCGCCATCTTGGCGCCGCGCGCCGCCCGGCCCGGCCCCCGCACTGCGCATGCGCCGCCGCTCCACGGGAGGGGGCGTGGCACCGGCACGCTGCGGGGAGGGGGCGGGGCTTGGAGGGAAGGGGGAGGGGCTTAAGGGGAGGGGGCGGGGCCTGGCGGGGCGCGCCAAGGGAGGGGGCGCGCGGACAGCGGGGGGGGACCGGGAAGGGACCGGGGGGGGGGGTCGGGGGGTGCCGAGGGGGGACCGGGGTCGGGGTGCCCCCAGCCACGGCACTGTGACCACACAGCCCTGAGACCCTCTGTGCCCGTGACCCCATGACCCCGTGACCCCGTGACCCCGTGACCCCATGTCCCTGTGACCCCACATCCCTGTGACCCCATGTCCCCATATCCCCATATTCCCATACCCCTGTGTCCCCCTGTCCCCCTCTCCGTGTGTCCCCATATCCCCATATCCCCATGTCCCTGTGACCCCATATCCCCCATATCCCCCTGTCCTCACGTGCCCGTGTCCCCATATCCCATTATCTCCATATCCCCATACCCCCATATCCCTGTGTCCCCATATCCCCACGTCCCCCTGTCCCCATATCCCCATAACCCCATAACCACATATACCCATGTCCCCATATCCCCAGGTCCCTGTGTCCCTGTGTCCCCATATCCCCTTGTCCCCCTGTCCCTACATCCCCATGTCCCCATATCCTCATATCCCCCTGTCCCCATGTCCCCATGTCCCCATATCCCATTATCCCTGTGTCCCCACATCCCCCTGTCCCCACATCCCCCTGTCCCCATAACCCCATATCCCGCTGTCCCCATATCCCCATGTCCCCCTGTCCCCCTGTCTCCTGTCCCCTGTCCCCACACCCAGCCAGCAGCCGCTCACGCTGATCTCCCTGCAGCACCCAAGGCTGAGCCGTGCGTGGGTGCGAGCAGCTCCCAGGGCACAGCGAGGGCTGGGGACACGGGGGGGGGGGCACGGCCGGGGGGAGTCGGGGCCGGGGGGATTTGGGGCCACTGGAGCGGGGCACAGTCCTGCCATGGGGCTGTGGTGGCAGCAGTGGGGTCAATGTGGGGTGACAGCGATTCTCCCAAGTCCCCATGCCCAGGCCTGGGGGGCAGCGGGGGGCTGGGTCCTGCTGGGGGCTGGGGGGCTCAGCCGTGGTGTGGGGGTCCCAGTCATGGTATGGGGGCTCTGCCAGAGCCTCCAGGAAGCCCCCCAGGGCTGGGGGTTGCAGGGACTGGTGTCACTCTGCTGCTTTCCCTCCCCATCCCTGTCCCCATCCCTGTCCCCATCCCTGTCCCCAACAGGTCCCCAGCCATGTGGGTGCAGCCCCCCCACAGCCCCCCAGCCCCCAGATCTCTCTGACCCCAGTGGGATTTGGGCTCAGGGCTCCGGGCTGCGCTCAGCTCCCTGCCCTCCCCTGCCAGGCACTGGCCGGGCGGTAATTAAGCTAATTGAAACTGAGCCATTGATTCTGGTGGCTGGACGCCCGGTGTCTCCTCCAGGGGGGAAGCGCTGCCTGTCCCCAGCCACCAGCCAGGGGGGGACCTGCTCCTGGCCCCTGGTGCAAGGCGCGAGGGGGCACCCAGCCGAGCCCCAGCCTCCTGCTCCCCCCCTGCCTGGACAACCCCCCCCCGGCCACAAACACGAGCAACCCACAGCCCGCTTCTCCCGTCCAGGCTCGTGCAGGCGCTGCAGCCCCCGGCCCCCTGACCCTGCCCGTGTGGGGGCACGGGAGGTGCCGTGGGTGTCCCCCCAGCATGGCACAGCTCAGGGCTTGGTTTGGGGTAATGGGGCTGGGCTGGTGGTGGCCGGGCTGCTCCCAACCCTGGGGACAGCAGGGGACATCCAGGGGACATCCAGGGGACACCCCTCGCAGGGGACCCCCCTGGCAGGGCACTGGGGCTGGGCGGGGGCCAGGCAGGGTGCTCGTGCCCCCAGCCCCCGGCTGCAGCCCTGCGGCGCGGTTTCGCTGCTGTTTTTCCGTCTCTGCAGTAATCCAGCAACAAACCAGCGGAAGAATCCGGCGTGCCACCGAAATCCCCCGGGGAGACGCCAGCAGAGCCCGGGGCCGCGGTGCCGGCTGCTCGCCCAGGGCCGGGGGCTGCTCTGCTCTGCTCGGGGGGCTGCGGACGCGGCTCTGCCCCATGGGGGCTGCCTGGGTGCCCGACACCCTCTAGGCTGTGCCATGTGCCCTGTCCCCAGCCCCATGCCAGCCCCGTCCTGTCCCCGTCCCCGTCCCCACCGACACATGATCAGGTGCTGCTGCAAATCCTCCTGTGCTGGCCGTGTTTGAAGCCTTTGTGTCCTGGTGATGCAGAAGAATCCGAGCGATTCGGAGCACGCAGGGCCCCTCGGCACCAGGAGGCCTCAAGGGGGGAGCGGGGCACGGAGGGGGCACCGGACCCCCGCCTTGGGGTGAGACCCCGGCCGGGGCAGCCCTGGGGTGCTCGGGCTCCTCGCCCTGCCCCAGCTCGGCAGCGGGGCCGCTGCAGGCACCCAGACCCGCTGAGCCCCCCCCCGGGGTCCCTGCGCCCCAGCTCCCCCCCCTCTTGGCCTGGCATCGCCTGGCGCACGGCCGGATACGGGGTGGTTCTGAGCCAGCCTCGTCCCCAAAGCTGCCCCACTCCCTCCCCTGCTCCTGGGGGCTGCAGCGAGCCCCCCGGTCCCCAAACCCCTCCTGCAACCCGAGGGGACAGCGAGGGGCTGGGAGCACCCCCAGGGCTGAGCATCGCCCGCCCTGTGAGCACCCCGAGCCCGGGGACCCCCAGCTGAGGGCAGCGAGGCAGAGCAGCGGGGGATGGCGGGGAGCTGGGGGGGCACCTGGGCTCGCTGTTCCCCAAATTGTGTTAAAATGCCCCAAGAGAAGCTTCAGCCCGGGTCAGCCCTGGGGGAAGCCCCGACCCTGCTGGGGGCAGCTCCGTGGGGTCGTGGGGCCGTGGGGCTGGGGGTGCAGGGGGCAGCCCGGCAGGGGGGCAGGATGCGACCCCCGCCCCACATGGGTTTGCCCAGGGCTGTCCCAGGGGACTGGGGCTGGGCACGGCCCGGCCGGCCCCGGGCAGGGGGCGCAGGTGCGGGAGGAGCCCCCCCAAACCTCCCCAAACCTCCCCAAACCTCCCCAAACCTCCCCAAACCTCCCCAAACCTCCCCAAACCTCCCCAACTCCCCCCAGCCCCAGCCCCGCTCCCGGCCCGGGGGGGTCCCGGCGGGCGGTTCCCGGGGCCGGTCCTTGGGCACCGCGGGGAGCGGGGCCGGGGGGGGCGGTGCGGGGCCGGGCCGGGCCGGGGGGGGGCTGCCCCGCGCCCCGTGGCTCCTCCCGCGGCCGCTCGGCTCCTCCTCGCCGCGCCGAGCCCAGCGATATTTAACCTGGGCCGGGCAGCGCCAGCTCGGGCAGCACGGCCGGCGGCGGCACCCCGAGCACCCGCACCCCGAGCGGCTGAGCCCGGCCCGACCCCACCGGACAGCACCGAGACCCCCCCCCAAGCCCCCGGCCCGGCCGCAGCCAGGTACGGGCGGGGCCGTGCGGGAGCCCCGGCACCGGGGGCACAGGGGGGGCACCGGGGGCACAGGGGGGGCACCGGGGGTGGGAGCGGCAAGGGGATACCGGGGGGCACCGGGGGGTACCGGGGGGCACCGGGGGGTATCGGAGGGTATCGGAGGGTACCGGGGGGCAGCTCGATGGGGGGGATCCGGGGGTACCGGGCAGGGGGCGCAGGGCTGGGCGGAGCGGCTCGGGTCGGGCAGGGCAGAGCCGGGCTGCGGCGCTGGGGTCCCGGAGCCGCTCGCTGCCACCGAGCCGAGCCGTGCCCAGCCCTGAGCTTTTTTCTCTTCTCCTTGCAGCCCCGGATCCGCTGCCCCGGCCCAGCCCCGCCATGAGAGCCCCGGCGCCGCTTGCGCTGGGTTGCATCAGCTTGGTGCTGTGTCTGCTGCAGCTGCCCGGCTGCCGGCCCCTGCCCGCGGGGCGCTCGCCCAAGCACAGGTGAGGCAGCACCCAGCACCCAGCACCCTGCACCCCCCCCACCCGGTCCCTCGGGGGGACGCGATCCCGAGCCCCCCCTGCTCAGGACCCAGCCCAGGACTGAGCCCTGCTGCCCTGAGCCCCCTGCCCGGGACCTGTCTGGCACCAAACCTGGCCCCGTGCGCCTGCCCCGTGCCACTGGGCTCTGCTCCTGGCTGCTGCTGGTCTGGTGCCAGCAGGGGCCACGTCCCCGCAGCCGTCTGTCCCGCCAGGCACCGTGTGTCCACCTGTCCGGCCACCCAGCACTTCCCCATGGGGCTGCTCCAGCCCCGGACGCTCTCCCTGGGTTCCCCTGGGGTCCAGCACGGGTGGCACCGCTGTGCCTCCTGCCACCAGCACGTCCCCGCTGCAGGACGTGGCCCAGACAGGGAGGGGACACCCAGCCATGCACCAAAGCGCCCTTGTGCTGGCAGCAGGTTGGGTGCAGGGTCCCCGGGCTCAGGGATGGCTCCTGGGGGTGCAGGGAGGGGGCAGGCTGGGGGCTCCCCCAGCTCCACACGCTCCCTTGGTGATGTTCCCGAAGTGCTGCGGGAGCCCGGCAGCCTGTCCTGGTGTGAAGGGGGTGAACGGGGCTGGGACGGGGCCGGGGTTAACGCACGGGGCGCAGCGATGGGCATGGGGACGGGGGGTGGTGGGGCGCAGGGGTACTGGGGTCTGTGTGTGAGTACATCTGTGTGTGTGTGTGCATGCCCAAAGCCCGGGCAGAGCGTGAGCGTGTGCAAGGGCCGGGCAGAGTCCCTGTGCCCAAGTGTGAGCAGGGGCAGGACGAGGCGTCCGCGCGTGCCGTGCCGGGTGGTGCCTGTGCCAGAGGCCGGGGTGCGCGTGGAGAGGACCCACAGGGGCGAGGACGGGCAGGGGCTGCGCGGCGCCAGGATCCCCTTGTCAGAACTTTCTGCTGGAGGAGGAAGCTGGGAAGGGGATTAAAGCTCCTGCCGGCGCCGTGCGTGCGTGCACGCGCGGGCTGCGCGCCTGCATGTTGCTGCTTGAGGAGCTGGTTGGGGCTGTGCCCCGCGCCGTGGGAAGCCTGCGCCGGGCTCCGTGCGGCTCCGGGGCCGTGGCCGTGGGGTGGCACAGCACGGCTGCTGCTGGGGCTGCCATCCCTGGGGCTGGGGGTGCTGCGGGGGGGTGCCTGGGGCTGCCCCTGCGTGGGTGCTGGCTCGGCGCTGGTGCCACGGGAGCTGGGGTGGGCAGCAGTGAGAGGCAGAAGGAGGGAGGGGGGCTCACCTCGGGGCTGGAAGCTGCATGGAAAGGGCCCAGGGGATGTGCGGGGAGGCTGCAGCCCGGCAGGGCAGGGGCTATGGGGGGGCAGTGGGAGCCCGTGAGCCTCGCACAGCCCCAGGGAGCAGGCAGGGAGCGGAGCTGCGGCGATCCCACGCGCTGCCGGATGCGCCGGGGCAAAGCCAGGGGCGGGCGGGGAACTCCCCAGCCGTCCTGCGGGAACCCGGCACGGGGCTTTTTGGGATGGGGGCTCGCTGGGGCTGCCTGGATGAGCGCTGCCAGGGAAAACCCCGCGGCCGGTTTCTGGGCAGCAGCTGCCTCCTGTAAACACGGCCGAGGAAGGGGCAGGCGAGCACGAGGCCTTGCCCCGCCGGTGCTTCCTGTCCCTGCCGGGCTGCAGGAATTTGGCCTCCGTCCCTGCTCCCCGGGGCTCGTGGCCAAGCAGTGTCCGGCCTCGACCCCGATGAGCTGTGCCAGGACGAGCCCCCAGCCCCACGGTGCAGGGCCAGCAGCGCTGTGCGGCCGCATCCAACCCCAGCGGGGGGCTTGGTGGGCTCAGGGCGGTGCAGGGCTGCGTGTGCCCGCCAGGAGCAGCGTGTGCAGGGGGGTACGGTGGGGGTATGGGGGTGCGACGGGTCGTGGGGGTCTGCGTGCCAGCAGGGGAGGGGGCACTGCGTGTGCGCGGGGTCACCGCCCGTCCGTGCGCACTGCGGGCCGTGGGTGCGGGTGTTGGAGCGCACGGACGCGTGTGCGTGCCGGGACATGCGTGCAGCGCTGCGTGCTGGGCTTGGGGCGTGCGTGCGTGTCGGCATGCACACCGGCACGGGGGTGGACCTGTGTGTGTGCAGGGGTCACGGCACGCGTGTGCGTGTTCACAGGGGTGAGGGGGGGGCTGTGTCTGCGGGGACGGCTGCGCGTGCGTGGGGTTGCACCATGTGGGTTGCCCCATGCTGGTGTGTGTCTGTGCGTGGGGTTGCACCATGGCTGTGCCCCCGTGCCGGTGGCGCAGGAAGGTGCGGGGGGCTCAGGCCGGGCTGCAGGGGCTGTGCTGGTGCTGCCGTGTGCCGGCAGTGCCGGTGTGTGTGGGGGGGCCTCCCCAACACAGTTCTTGGGTGCCCCCAGCCATGGGGTGCGTGATCCCCCCCACACTGCCCCCACACCTGGCCACATGTTCCAGCAGGGCAGGGGGCTGGTGTGGGGCAGGGCCTGGTGCCAATGGGGTTGGGGCAGCAGATGTGTGAGCACCGGGGGCTGGGGGGCAAGGGCTCAGCTGCCCCACGCAGCCCCCCCCTTGGTGCCCCGTGGCTGTGCCGTGCCCGGAGCCAGGCCCCGGGCTAGGGCTGCTGCGCACTGGTCATGGCCACAAGGAGCAGGCGGAGAGGGGCCGGGGTGTCTGGGGTACCTGGGGCAGGCAGCGCCCCTGGGGCATGGGAGTTGTGGGGCAGGTGGGCAGCAGGCTCAGCAGCCCCCCCAGACAGGGACCTGGCACAGCTGTGGGGCAGAGCACGGCCCCAGAGGTGTCAGCACTTGTGGGGTGGGTGGGGGCTCGTGGCAGGGCTCACATAGCGCAGTGGCACAGGGTGGCCGTGGTGGGACGTGGGTTCCCGTGTCCCCAGGGAGCCCTGTGGGATGGGACGAGGGGGGCCGGGAGGGGCCGGGCACACATCCCAGTGCTGCTGGTTTGGAGGCTGGGAGCCTGCGGGCGCAGCCGTGCCGCTGGCAGCAGCTCCCTGCCGGCCCCCGTGGCGCAGCGTGGGTACGGGGGGGTACGGGGGGGTACGGGTGGGGCTGCAGGGAGCTGCTCTTGCTCTGCCTCCTCCCGGCCCCACGCAGCTCCCTGGGGCTTGGCGTGGGCACGGGGCTGGGGTCAGGGTCCGGCTGCACCGTGGGTGGGGGGCACCGGGTGGCTGGGCTGGGGGCTGCCGGCACCGCGGAGCTCTGGACCTGCCCCATCCCGGGAGGTGGGGGAGAGCCCGGGGCTGGGGTCCCCCTGGGGAGGGGGCTTGGTGGGGGGGGCAGCTGCTGCCTGCAGAGCCGGCTCCCCGTGGCGAGCACCCCTTCCCCGGGGGGAGCTCGCCCAGCGCTGGCCCCGCACGCCCTCTGCAGGACGCGGCCACCCAGGGCGCGCTGCGGGGCTGGGGGTGCCCCAAAGGGGCCTCATCTCCTGGGGGTCCGCGCCCCCCTCTGCGGCCCCCCCAGCCCGGGGCTGTGCCGCCCCCCTCCTGCTCACCCCACGCTGCTCTCTTGCAGGGAGCCCCCGGACCGGAGACCCTCCCCGGCTTTGCTACAGGCGCCCCGGCAGCGCCCGGCACCGCTCCCACTCCGCGGAGACCCCCCGGGGCTGCAGCCCCCAGCCCCACCGCAGCCTGCGGGTGGCCCCCGGCGCAGACCTCTCGTCCCCCGGCACGGCCCGAGGCTCACCCCGCGGCACGGACCCCGGCCAGCCCCCCGGCACGGCCCGAAGCTCGCCCCCCGGCACGGTGCCCCCCGGCACCCCGTTGCGCGGCGGGGCCGTCGGCACGCCGGGGGCCGCCTGCACCACGCGCAGCTGCTGCGGGTGGGCTGCGTGCTGGGCACCTGCCAGGTGCAGAACCTCAGCCACCTCCTGTGGCAGCTGAGGGGACAGTCGGGCCGCCAGGACTCGTCCCCCATGAACCCCAACAGCCCCCACAGCTACGGCTGAGGGCGGCCGCCCCCCGCCAGACTGCCTGGGCCCCCCTGGGGGCTCCCCACTAAAGCACTTCCAGAGGCTGCCGGGCTCGTCTGCGCCTTTCTGCGGGGTGCCCGGGGTCCCCGCGTGGGGCTGAGCCCAGCGCCAGCCCAGGATGGGGCTGCGGGGCGGCGGTGGCCCCATAGGGACGGGGATTTGTCCCCACGGAGGGTCCAGGAGGGACGAGCTCCGTGTCACCGCGGAGCCGCTGGCCCGTGGCGCCTGGCGCTGGCCTGGCCACCAGGGCTGTTGACCACGGGTCCAAGGGGCACCGGCGCTGGCCCTTGTGCAAGAGCTGGGGGCTGAGCCCCCGGCCCCGCTGCAGCCTGACTCAGCAGCCCCATGGCAGTCACCGCCTGCGCCCCCCCAGGATGCGCGGCGACGTGGGGTCCCCCCCCCCGGCACATCCTGGCCCACGCCTGCCTCTGCTGTGCCCAAACCTGGGGCTTTGTGGGCGCTGCCGGGGGGCCACGGGCAGGGGGTCCCTGCTGTCCCCAAGGCAGGGAGGGGCTGGGGCTGGGGACACGCAGGGATCACAGGAGCAGAGCGGGGGGGCCCCTCCCCAGCCCGGCTGCCCCCAGCGCCCTTCTCCTGGCGGGGGTCCCAGGTTGGGCTCAGTGCCCTGGGTCCCTTCCCAAGGCTGAGGGCAGGGAGCCTGCGGGGGTCCCGTCCTCCCTGGGGAGGAGGCTGCCCCCTTCCCCTGAGGCCCTGTCCTCCTTGTCCCCGCCTGAGACCCCCCCCCCAATACTGCTCATAGCCCCGAAATGAGGCTGGGACCAGCTGCTGGTGGGCTCCAGGGCATGGTGAGAAGTTCTCCTGTCCCTGCCCCATCCTGACCCCATCCCTGCCCTGACCCCATTCCTGTCCCTGACCCCATTCCTGCCCCATCCTGACCCCATTCCTGCCCTGCCCTGTCCCCATTCCCCTCCCAGCTCCTGCCCCCCCCAGGCCCTGGTGCCACCCCAGGGTGGTGCTGAGGCTCTGGGGACAGGCCCCGTGCCCCCGGAGCACGTTTGGGAAGGGCCCCGTGGTCTGTGGGGACCAGGATTTGGGGTGGGGGGGGGCACAGACATGAGGGGACCCCAAGTTTTCCAGGCACCCCACACCGTGATGGGGATGTGCAGCCCCTGCCTGGGGCCGTGCCTGCCCCCCCCCCCAGCTCATGTCCCCCCCGTGAGCAGGGTGCTGGGGACCCAGGGCCACCCCCAGCCAAATCCCGGGGGCAGAGGGACCCCAACCTGCTGGCAATGGGGCCCAGCTGGGGGGGGGGACATGGGATGGATCCAGCCCTCCATGGAGAGGGTGGGGGGCACGGCGTGACTGCACCCCTTCCTCCTGCCTGCCCCGTCCCCACCACCACGGGCACCCTCACCCAATGCCACCCCCATCGGCCCCATCCCTTGCACGAGCCCCCCCCGTACCCCTGGGTGCAGCCCCCCCCCCGTGCCAGCAGTGCCCTCGTCTGTGCCCACAGCCCCCTCCGTCCCCAGGAGCACCCAGTGCCCCCCCCGAGCACCAGGGGATGGGGGGCACCCACGGGTGCTGCTCTCGGCCCCTCGCCACCACAAACCACGGGTCTGGGTGGGAGCGAGACCTCAGCCCCCGGCTGGGAGCTTAGCCTGGGAAATCTGGGGTGAAACTCCACGATTTTGGCCAAGCTGCGCGTGCCAGCGCTGGGCCCGTGGCCAGCTGAGCCAAGAGGCTGCAGCCACCGCGTCGCTGCCCCTGGGACCCGCGGGGACCGGGACGACCCCTGCCCAGCCCCAGTGCCCCCCAGTACCCCCCAGTACCCCTCGGTGCCCCCCAGTGCCCCCCACCCCACTGCAGGCAGGAGGTGTCACGGTCCCAGCACTCGGGGGCACGCCGGGCACACCCCCCCCCTGCGTATTCCAAAACCCACGGGGTTTGGGCAGAATAAAGTGTGAGACTTCCCAACGGGGGGGGAGCGAGCGATCGCTGTCCTGTCATGATGTGTCGCGACGTGTCACGACGGGTCGGCTCGGGTCGGGTCGTGACAGAGCCCTGCCAAGTGGCTGCTTGGGGGCACTGCCCCGGGCAGCACCAGGTTCCCCCCCCCATCCCACCCCTCTGTCCGCCTGCCCACCCCTCTGCCTGTCCGTCTGTCCCACTGCCCCCCTCCTGCCCCCCCCCCCAGCCCCCCTCACCCACCCCCTTGCTGCCCCCCCAGCCCCATGGGATGTGGGGTCCGTCCCCACGCCCTCCCCCCAGACACTGCCCCACGGCCCCATCCCATTCCTGGGGGATGCGCTGGGTGCCCCAGCCCCTGTGGGACCCCCCCCATTTCCTCCTCCCCATCCCCAGAGCCCCCATCTCCCATCCCCACTGGGGGGGGCAGCAGTAGGGCCAGGGCTGTCCCACGGAGACCCTCCCCAGCATTAGGGTCTCTGCAGCTGGAGTCACCGGGACACCCCTATGTTTGCCACGGCTGCAGCCCCCACCCCAGTGCCCCCCCAGCCGTGTGCCCCCCCTGTGACACCCCCGTGCCCCATGCCCCGGAGCAGAGCAGCCACGACCCCGCTGCCCATGGGGCTGCCGGCAGCTGGGGGTCCCCAGCTGGGTCTGGGGGCTCCCCCACTTGGGGGGGTGCAGCCTGGGACACCCCAGCCTGGGGGCTGGGCCAGGACCCCCCCAGCACCCCCCTGCCCTGGGGAGCAGCGGCGGCGGCGCGGGCTCAAACATTAACCGGGGGCCGGTTAACTGGTGACCGATTGCCCCCACGCCCGGGGATAAAGCCGGGGGGGTCCCGGCGGCCGTCCTGTGCGCCCTCTGCCCCTCGCCACGGCCAGCATGAGGCCCCCCCGGGTGGTGAGTACCCCCCCCCAGAGCCTGCCCTGCTCCCCCTCTGCTGTGTGTCGGGGGCAGGAGCACCCCTGCAGCCCCCTCCCCATGACCCCCCTGTGCCGTGGGGCACAGCCCTGTGGATGTTACCCCCCCCCATGGGGTCTCGCATTCAGGGAACCCCCCCACAGCTTGGCGTGACGTGGGGCCCAGCAGAGCTTAGCAGAGGGGTGGCAGGGGGGGCAGGAGACCCCCCCGGGACCCTCCAATGTCCCCCCAGCCCCACGTGGATCTGATCCCCACAAGGACCCATTCCCCGGGGGGGTCCCATCCTCATGGGGTTCCCACCTCCACAGGAGTCCCAGCCCCCGAGTGGACCCAAACTCTCGTGGATCCCACCCTGAGGAGGATCCCAGCCCCAGGGGGGTCCCAGCCCCAGGGGGGGCTGATCCCACAGGGTCCCACCCCATGGCGCACTGACCCCACACACTGCTCTATGGGGACTCGGGGCAGTGCTTCTGGGCTCCCCCCCCCAGAACAGGGCCGGTGCCCCCCCCGTGCCCCACTTTGCTCCCTGGGGACGCAGGAGACACGGCCCCGTGCACCGGGCTGGCCGGGTGGCACGGACTTTGTGCCCCGTGGGGACACGGCCTGGGCACCCCGGGGGGCTGCAACCCCCTGTGTGGGGCGGTTGTGGGATGGGGATGGGGCAAGGGAGGGGCAGGGCAGCGCTGCCTGGTGCTGTGCTGTGCCTTGCAGTGCTGTGCAGAGCCATGCAGTGCTGTGCAGTGCGAAGCAATGCTGCACAGTGCAGTGCTGTGCAGAGCCATGCAGTGCTGTGCAGTGCGAAGCAATGCTGCACAGTGCAGTGCTGTGCAGGGCCGTGCAGTGCAGAGCAATGCTGCACAGTGCTGTGCTGTGCAATGCTGCACTGTGCAGTGCAACACTGTGCAGTGCCTTGCAGTACTGTGCAGTGCAGTGCTGCACAGTGCTGTGCTGTGCGGTGCCTTGCAGTGCTGTGCAGTGCTGTGCAGTGCAGCAGTGCTGTGCAATGCTGTGCAGTGCTGTGCCATGCAGCACAGTGCAGTGCCACGCAGCACAGCACCACGCAGCACACTGCAGTGCCGTGCAGCACCGAGCAGCACAGCACTGCAGCATGCAGCACACTGCAGTGCCATGCAGATCAGCACCATGCAGCACAGCACCACCCTGTGCAGCCACGTGCCATGCAGTGCAGTGCCCCCACCACTGCACTTTGCTGTGCAGTGCAGTGCCATGCAACACAGTGCCATGCAGCACAGCACAGCACAGCACCATGCAGCACAGCACTGCTCTGTGCAGCCTCGTGCCGTGCAGTGCAGTGCCCCCCAACACTGCACTTCACTGTGCAGTGCCCCCAGGGCTTCCCTTTGGAGCTCGCGTGGTCCCCATACCCTGCAGGGAACCTTTTGTCCCTGAGCCTTTTGTCTCTGTCCCCACGGCCGTGGGCTGGGTGCGGGATCGGGCCCCGCTGACCCTGCCCCATGTCCCCAGGACGCCGACCCCTCCGAGGAGCCGCAGCCCGGCAAGGCCAAGTCCGAGTACCGCAACTACACGGTGAGCCACCGGCACCGCGGGGCTGGCCCTGCCGCCCTCGGGGGGCAGCGGGATGGGGCAGCCACCCCCCAGCCCACCCCGTGGGGTCGGACCCCCCGAGCCTGACGCTGCGCCGCAGGAGGGGAAGCTGCTGGACCGCGTCTACGGCACCTACCTGCTGATGCACACCCACCAGACCGTCGACTTCGTCCGCAGGAAGGTGCGCGCCCCTCCTCTGGGTGCCCAACCCCGCTGGCACCGTGGTCCTGGGGGTCCTGGGGGGGGGTCCAGGGGGTCCCCCGGCCGGTGCTCACCGCCCCGGTGCGCCCCCAGAGCGCCCAGTACGGGGGCTGCTCCCTGCGCAGGATGAGCGTGATGGAGGCGCTGGAGCTGCTGGACCAGCTGGTGGACGAGTCCGACCCCGACGTCGACTTCCCCAACTCCTTCCACGCCTACCAGACCGCCGAGGGCATCCGTCGCGCCCACCCCGACAAAGGTAGGGCCGGGACAGGGGGGGTGAACCCTGGGGGTGCCGCCGGGGGTGTCACCGACAGCCCCGCTCGCCCCCAGACTGGTTCCACCTCGTGGGGCTGCTGCATGACCTGGGCAAGGTCCTGGCGCTGTTTGGGGAGCCCCAGGTGAGCAGGGTGATGGGGGGGGTGACAGGGAGGGGGGGCAGCGCCTGGCACTGCCATGGGCCCCCCCAGGACACTTGTGGCCGCCCCGCAGTGGGCCGTGGTGGGGGACACCTTCCCCGTGGGCTGCAAGGTGCAGAGCTCGGTGGTCTTCAGCGACTCCACCTTCCACCAGAACCCTGACAGCAGGGACCCCCGCTACAGGTGAGCGTGACCCCTGCCCCTCTGTGTGTGTGTGGGGGGGCTCGGGGGGGGGGGGGCCAGCCCCATGGCACAGCCCCGAGCCCAGACCCCTGCCCCCCCAGCACAGAGTGTGGGATGTACCAACCCCACTGCGGCCTGGAGAACGTGCTCATGTCCTGGGGACACGACGGTGAGCTGCAGCCTGGGGACCCCTTTTGGGGTGGGGGGGCGCAGGGGCTCTGCCCCCATCTCCCCCCGTGTGCGGAGCAGTGGGGCCGGGGGCTGCCCGCCCCCCCCAGCCGCCCGCTGTCCCCGCAGAGTACATGTACAGAGTGATGAAGTTCAACAACTTCGCCCTGCCCAAGGAGGTGAGGGCTGGGGGTGCAGGGTGGGGGGGCCGGGCACCCACAGCCCCCCCATATCACGGCCCTGTCCCCACCTCCCCCCCCCCAACCCCCCCCAGGCCTTCTACATGGTTCGCTTCCACTCCTTCTACCCCTGGCACGCGCACGGGGACTACGGGCACCTCTGCAGCGAGGAGGACCTGCGCATGCTGACCTGGGTCAAGGAGCTCAAGTGCGTGGTCGAGGAGCTGGGGGGGGGGGCTGGGACGTTGTGCCCCCCCCCCCCCGTTCGGCTCTGACCCCCTGCTCGCTCCCACAGCAAGTTCGACCTCTACACCAAGCAGGAGGAGCTGCCCGCGGTGCAGGAGCTGCGGGGGTACTACCAGTCCCTCATCGACAAGTACTGCCCGGGGCAGCTCTGCTGGTGAGCTGGGACCCCCCCCCGGCGCAGCCCCGGCCCCCCCCCCCCCGGCACACAGCACTGCTCTCCCCCCCCCTGCTTGCCCCATGCCCTGCCCCAGGGCCCCAGGCCACCAATAAACCTGCTTGGCACGCAGCGCAGAGCTGGACGCAGCCACGGCACGGGGCTGGGGAAAGCCCCCTGGATGGGGAGGGGGGGGGCAGTGGGACTGAGTGGGGTCAGCACAGCCCCCATTTCCCCCCCCCTCACCTTTCTGGGGTGAAGGAGGGGCCTGGGGCTGGAATGTCAAAGGCTTTATTTAGAAAATCGTAGCAAACCCCTGTGCGAGGGGAAGCGCGGTGCGGTCAGACCCCCCCCCCGGCACGGGGCAGTGGGGGCACATGAGGCCGCGATGCAGCTGCCCCCCCAGCACCACCCCTGCCCCACGGGATGGCCGAGGAGGGGGGGACAGAGGGGCAGCCCCCGCTGGGGGGCACGGGGAGGCCGCCCCCACCTGCACCGCTCTGTGAAGGCACTGGCAGGGAGAGCAGCGCGCTCACCCCAGGGTGGGGGCCGTGATGGCAGGGGGGGCCGTGCCCCACCAGGACCCCCCCACGGGGACAGAGGCAGCGTCGGGCGACCGGGGGGCGCAGAGGGGGGGGCCCGGAGCCAGCGGCATCAGCCAGTGCCTGGAAGACGGGTCCTGGTGGCGCCCGGCGCTGCTGCTACTTCTTCCTCTTGGTGCCGCGGGGACCCTCGCCATCGGCCGCCCCCCGGGCTCGGCCCTCGCCCCTCTCCTCCCTCTCCTCCTTCCTCCTCACCTGCCCGTTCTTCTCGCCGCCCCCTCGGTCCACCGGGTCCCCCCGCTTGGGCCCTTTGTGGCGGGCAGGGGGTGTCCCCCCCCGGGGCCGGCGGCCGAGGGCGCGCAGCAGCGCGGCGCTGGCGGCACCGAGGTACAGGGACCACAGCACCACCGGGCCCGAGAGCGGGAGGCTGAGGCGCCGGATGGACTCCAGCAGCCAGGGCAGGAAGGTGGTCGCCGGGCGCTTGGGGGGCGCCTTGTCCTGGGGGGGCACGGGGAGGGTGAGAGCCACCCCACGGCCACGCAGGGGGGGCACAAATGGGTGCGGGGTGAGGGTCCTACCTTCAGCCCGTGCTGCGCGAGGAGGCTCTCCAGCGTGGGGTCGCCCAGAGACACGGTGGGGAAGAACTCCTGGACGTGCTGCCGCCGCCACCACCGCGTAGCCCCCTCCCTGCGGGGCAGGGGATCAGTGCCTGGGGGGGGCAGGACCCCCCCCGCAGCCCCACGGCCCCCTGGAGCTGCGCTCGGGGTCCCGGTGAGCCCCCCACCCCCAGGGCTTGCCCCCGCGGCTGCCCAAGGACAGGCGCCCGCACGTCGGTGCAGGGTCACCCCCGTGGTGGGGAGCAGGGGGAGCATCGGGGGGGTGCCCCCACCCATCTCACCCGGTCTCGGCGCTGCCGGTGAACCAGTACTTGTAGAGCTGGGCGCGGATGTAGGTGGGGGGCTGCGCGCTGAAGGGGTACTTGGCCTCATCCAGCTGCACCAGGCGGATCACTGCGGGGGCGCAGCGTTACGGGGGCTGCCCCAGCCCCAGCCCCTGCCCCTGCCCCCCCTCCCGACCCCCCCCCAGCCCCGCTCACCGTCCTTCTTGCCCTGCAGCAGGCGATACACGAAGCTGGCGAACCAGGGGCTGCTGCTGTGGTGCCCCAGGGCCGCGAACCACATCTGCCAGTCCAGCCGGGGCTGGTGCGGGGCCACCAGTGGTGGGGCTGTGCTGACGTTGCCCGGCTTGTACATGAACTCGATCTCCTGCAGGCAGGGCGGGGGGGTCAGGTCTGGGCCACAGAGTCCCTCCCATCACCTCCAGGCGCTGTGGGATGAACGAAGCCCCCCCAGCCCACGGGGACAGCCGGGTGCCCCAGCAGCGCCAAGGCAGCGGGGTGGGGATGCTCGGGGCTGGCTCCTCAGCCCCATCCCAGCCCTGGGGGCGAGGTGGGGGCTCACCGTCCAGGTCTGCTTGTCGTAGCTGCCCTCCAGCACCACCTCGGGCCGCCCCCCGACGCCCGTCATCCTGCGGAAGAGCCCGTAGGAGTTCACCACCTGGAAGCGCTCCACGGCGTTGAACATGTGGTGGATGCCGGGCCACAGCTTGCCGTTGGACTCGTAGTCGATGTAGGTGAAGGGCACCTGGGCAGCGCAATGGGGGGGGGCTGCAGGAGGCACGGGCAGAGCCCCCCTGCCCCGCTGCTGCCTGCCTGCAGCACCCAGCCCCAGCCGGAGGAGCGGGGACCACCCCCGTGCCCCCGAGCTCACCAAGCTGACGGCGAACACCCCCACGGCGGCCGTGGCGAAGACGCCCCACTGCAGCAGAGCCCACAGCTTCCAGAAGCAGCCACGGACACTGATGCACCTGTGGGGGGTGGGACGGGGGGGCTCAGACCCGCACAGCCCCCCCCAGGCTGCGTGTGCATGGCGTGGGGACGGGGACCCGGGTGAGCCCCTCCGCAGCCCGGTTGGGAATTGCACCTCGGGGCGCAGGACCCCCAGCACGTGGCGCAGGAGGAGCCCCCCGGCACTCACCGGTACAGGGCGCAGAGGATCTCCCAGGACAGCGAGAGGAAGCCCACCCCGACCAGCGGCAGCGTCACCGTCCGCAGCCACTGCGTGAACTCGTGGTAGGTGAAGGCTGGGGCAGGGGGACAGCGCGGGGTCAGGGCTGGCGGCGGCACCCGTGGGAGGGGATGGGGACAGGGACAGGGACGGGGACGGCCACCCGGTGCGGCCGGGACCTACCCACTTTGGATTCCAGCACCTTTTTCTCCCAGTCGATCTCCAGCCCGAAGTGCTGCACGCTCCAGTAGAGCAGCAGGGCGTAGGCAGCCAGCTCCAGCAGGGTGGAGAGGAAGGCGAGGAGGCTGGGGGGCCAGGCTGAGGGCAGGGGGGCAGCTCAGCGCCAGGCCCTGACCCACGGGGCGCAGCAAACCACAAACCCAGCCCCACGAGCCCACATACAGGGGGGCAGGGGGTGTTCCCAGAGCACGTCCCTGCACCGCAGCCCCACGCTGAGTCCCAACCTGAGCACCCCGGGGGCGGCCGCTCGCTCAGCACCAACCTGGGGCAGCCACAACGGCACCGAGAGCTGTCCCCCCCCGTCCCACCCCCAACCCCACACACTGCAGAGGGCACCGCGCCCCCAAAGGGGCCGTGAGCCCCCCGACTCACAGCTGGGGTGCTTCTTCTTGCTGCGCCCCAGCCAGGACGCCACGTGCTCCTCATCCAGCAGGGAGAAGGCCAGCACGATGGTGAGCGCGTTGAAGAAGTTGTAGTTGCCCGTGAGGATGATGAGGACCTGCAGCAGGACCTGGGGGGGGCAGAGGCAGGGCTGGGGGCGTCAGGGCACCGAGCAGCCTGCAGGCAGCCCCCCCGCAGCCGTCCCAACGCCCCCCGCACCTGGCAGTAGAAGGCGAAGAGGCGGAGGCGGCGGATGGGGGCGAAGAAGAGCGGCGGGACGGCGATCTCGATCACGTAGGTGGCCACCACGCTGAGCTTCTGGAACCACACGGGCAGCTGGTGGGCGAACCAGGCGGCCGGCGTGGGGATGCACTGCGTCTCGTAGTGGTAGGTGAGAGCTGGGGGGGGGCAGCAGGGGGTCAGGGGGGTGTCGGGGGGCACAGGAGCAGCTCGGGGCGGGCAGCGCCGTGCCGGGGGCGCTGAGCGCGGTGCGTTTGCACGGAGCTGCCCAGAGCCCCACGGCTGCACATGGGGCACAAATCAGGGCTGGGGGCTGTGCCTGCCCCCCCCTCACCTGTGAGCCCCCACCAGGTGGGGCAGCGGCTGGTCAGCTTCACCACGCCGGAGGCGAACATGAGGCGGAAGAGCAGCCAGCGCACCAGCCAGAAGGTGACCCCGTCGTGGGGACGCCACGCCGCCGAGCGCCACCTGAAGAGGCGCAGGGGGGCCACCAGCACCCCCAGGAAGCCGGCTTCCAGCAGGAGGCTGTCCCTAAGGGCACGCCACAGTCCCACACTCACACCCTGGGGCCATGTCCCTGAGGTGACAGGGATGGGAGGCGCGGAGCCCCCCGGGAGGGCCCTGCGGGGTCTGCAGGGTGGGCGTGCGGGCGGCTGACTTACCACTGGAAGTAGAGGAAGACCTGTCCCACCTGCGGGGAGAGCGAGCAGTGAGCGGGGCGGGGGGCTCTGCACTGCGGGGTGTAGCCCCCCGGGGCCCTGCCCCGCTCCCTGTCTGCATGGAGCCCCCCCGAGCCATGCCAAACCCGGGGCGCGTGGCATCGCCCCGGCACAACGCGGTGCTGCGGTGCCATGGAGGCAGCCCCGGGGCGCGAGGTGGAGGAGGGAGGACGGAGGAGGAGGAGGACGCGGTGCCAGGAACCACAGCCCAGCAGCGGCTCCAGGCGGGAGCTGAGCTCCAGGCACGGCCACGTGGCCGGCGGGAGCCACGGGGCAGCCCCAGTGGGACGGGGATGGGGACGGGGACAGGGACGGGGATGGGGACGGGGACGGGGATGGCACGGGGCTGAGCCCGGCTGCACGGGGCTGCTCCTCCTGGCACAGCCCCTGGCTGAGCCCCGCTTGCAGGCAGAGCAGAGGGGAGGAGGAGGAAGAGGAGGAGGAGGAGGAGGAGGAGGGCAAGGATTTTTCTGCAGATCACCGTAAAAGGGAAGGACGAGGGCCTGGCACGCAGGGCTGGGTGGAGGCTGCTCCGGCAGCCGGCACGGCTCCTGCTGCTGCCTCTCCTGGGGCAGGAACCGAACCAGGCTCCTGTCCTGCCCCCGGGGGACACGGCACGGACAGGGGCACCATGGGGACAGGGGCACCCCAGGGACAGGGACACCCCGGGGACAGGGGCACCCCAGGCCGGGGCACCCCAGGGACAGGGACACCCCGGGGACAGAGCCAGCCGCACACTTTGGGGTTGGAGCAGCGCCACGTGGCCTCCCCAGCCCTGCCGGGGGGGGGTCCTGGTGAGCTGCTCCCTGCTGGGTTTCCCCGAATTGGGAGGGAAGAGGAACCGAGAGCCCTGCTGCAGCTGTGCGGACACACGCACACAGACAGGGGCACGCACAGCTGGCACACACACAGCTCACACACACACACAGCTCACACACATGCACACACTCACACTCACAATTACACCCATGCACCCTGCTGACACACACACAATCACAGCCAGCTCACAGGCACCGCTCACACTCACACACAGCACACATGCACCCAGCTCACAGCCCCCCAGCTCAGCCACGGGCACCCAGCTCACACCCAGCTCTCACACACACGTGCACACACTCACAGCCCCCCAGCTCACCCATGCACACACAACCACACACTGCCCCTGCTCACACACACAATCACACACATTTCCCGCCCCCCTTGTTCCCTCCCCGCCTCCCCCCAAAACCCCGAGCCGCAGCCACACAGTGCCTGTCTTTGGTATCCCAGGGCGGGCTTTTTGTGCTGGTGCCTGGTCCCAGTCCCAGTCCCAGTCCCAGTCCCAGTCCCAGACCCAGTGCAGCCCCAGCCCTGGTCCCGGTCCCAGTCCCATCCCCATTCCCATCCCATCCCCATCTCATCCCCATCCTGCCCCCATTTCCATCACATCCCATCCCCATCCTGTCACCATCCTGCTCCCTTCCCATCGCCATCTCATCCCCATCCTGTCCTTGTCCTCATCCCATCCCCATCCCATCCAACCCCATCCCCACTCCCATCCTGTCCTCATCCTCATTGCCATTCCATCCCATCCCATCCTATCCCCACCCCACCCCATCCCATCCCCATCCCATCCCCATCCCAGTTTCAATCCCAATCCCAGTCCCAATTTCAATCCCATCCCATCCCATCCCAATCCCAATTCTAAATCCAATCCCAATCCCAATCCCATCCCATCCCCATCCCATTGTAATCCCAAATCCAATCCCAATCCCAAATCCAATCTCAACCACAGCCCCATCCCAATCCCAATCCCAATCCCCATCCCAATCCCAGTCCCACCCCCACCCCACCCCATATTCCCCCCCCCCCCCGTTACCTGGTACAGCGACAGGTACGCCACATGCATGGTCCCCCCCCCCCCATCCCCAATCCCACCCCCCCACCCCAATCCCCCCCATTACCTGGTACAGTGACAGGTATGCCAGATGCATGGCGGCGAGCAGGAGGCAGCCCCTGAGCGCGGCGCTGAGCAGGGCGCCGATGGCGGCGGCGGCCCCCAGCAGGCAGAGCAGCTCCGCGCCGCGCTCCGCCGCCAGCCCCGCGCGGGGGCTGAGCCACAGCAGGGTGGGCTCGGCCCCCAGCAGCTCCCGCAGCCCCCGCCCGCCCGGCCGCAGCGCCCGCCGCACCGGCAGGATCCCGTCATGGCCGTACAGCCCTGAGGGGGGGGACACAGGGGGGGGACACCACAACGGGGACGGGTCAGGGAGGCACGGGATGAACGGGAGGGGATGGGGGGGGGTGGGGGGGGCCGTACCGGGCAGCTGCAGGTAGAGCGAGACGAAGGCGGCGAGGTAGGCGGCGGCCAGCCCGGCCAGGAACAGCTCCCGCGGCCGGTGAGGCGGCTCCGCCATGGTGGGGCCGGGACGGGCCGGGACGGGAGGAGCGGGGCCGGGCGGGGCGCGGATGGCGGCGGGGCCGTGACGGAAGCGCCCCGCGACCGGGGCCTGCAGCGGGCGGGAAGCGCCAAATGGCGGCGGGGACGAAACGGCGCTGAGAGGGGAGGGGGAGGCACCGAGTGGCACCGGGACGGGACCGGGATCGGAACCGGGACCGGGACGGAGCGGAGAGGAGCGGTGAGCGGCTGCGGGCCTGCCCAGCGGAGCCGGGACCCGGTTCCCGATCCCGGTCCCCGGTCCCCGGTCCCGGTCCCCGGTTCCCAGTTCCCGGTCCCGGTCCCCAGCCCCGGTTCCCAGTCCCGGTTCCCGATCCCAGCCCCGGTCCCTGATCCCAGCCCCGGTTCCCAATCCCAATCCCAATCCCAGTCCCGGTCCCGGTCCCGGTCCCCGATCCTGTCCCCGGTTCCCAATCCCAGCCCCAGTTCCCGATCCCAGCCCCGGTTCCTGGTCCCTGTCCCGGACCCCATCCCAGGTCCCGGTCCCCATCCCGGTTCCTGATCCCAGTCTCGGTTCCCGATCCCGGTCCCCAGTCCTGGTCCCGGTTCCTGTCCCCGGCCCCAGTCCGCAGCCCCCGTTCCCAATCCCGGTTCCCAATCCCAGCCCTGGTTCCCGATCCCAATCCCGGTCCTGGTCCCCAGTCCTGGTCCTGGTCCCCAACCCCGGTTCCCGATCCCAGTCCCGGTTCCCGATCCCAGTCCCGGTTCCTGATCCCAGTCCCGGACCCCACCCCAGCCCCTGTTCCCAATCCCAGCCCCAGTTCCTGATCCCAGTCTCGGTTCCTGGTCCCCACCCCGGGTCCCGGTCCCCTGCCCCTGTCCCCATCCCCAGGCCCCCATTCCCAGTCCCCTGCCCCGGGTCCCGGTTCTGGTTCCTGGTCCCCAGCCCCAGTCCCCAGTCCCCATTCCTGGTCCCACCCCCGGTTCTTGATCCCTGCTCCAGTTCCCAGTCCCCTGCCCTGGTCCCCCCATTCCCTGGTTCCCAGTCCCAGTCCCTGCTCCAGTCCCGGCCCCACTCCCCAGTTTGGGTCCCGGTCCCAGTCCCCGGTCCCAGCTGGTGACCCCCGGCCGTGCCCTGGTTCCCCCCACACCCTGTGCAGGCCACGGTGTGCCTCGGGCTGCTGGGCCCAGTGCCCATCCCAGTGCCCATCCCAGTGCTCAGCCCCCATCCCAGTATCCCAGTGCCCATCCCAGTGCCCATCCCAGTGCTCAGCCCCCATCCCAGTATCTCAGTGCCCATCCCAGTGCCCATCCCAGTGCCCATCCCGGTGCCCATCCCAGTGCTCAGCCCCCATCCCGGTGCCCATCCCAGTGCCCATCCCAGTGCCCGTCCCACCCACTGGGGACCCCGAGGTAACCCGCAGCCTTCCTTTCTTCCCCCATTGGGCTCTGCCCCGTGCCCGCCGGGCTCCTCACCCCCAGCTCTCACCTGGCTTGGTGTGACCGCAGCCCCCCGCTGCCACCGGACCCCGGGGGAGGCCACCAGCCCCCCACGGCCTGAGCCCCGCCACCGAGGAGCGGCCATGGAGGACGTGGAGTCGCGCTTCCTGCACCTCCTGCAGCCCATCCGCGACCTCACCAAGAACTGGGAGGTGGACGTGGCCGCGCAGCTCGGGGAGTACCTGGAGGAGGTGAGGGGGGCGCGGGGGGCTCCTGGCCCTGCCCCACAGCGGGGCGGTGCCGTGCTCGCTGGGCTGTGCGGGGTGTGAGGTCCAGCACCGTGTCACAGCACCGTGTCACCGTGTCCCTTCTGCGTGCCCCCTGTTCTCAGGGCTGCGTTCCCCACAGTGCAGCCCCAGAGGATCTCCTGGTGCTGCAGGGACGAGGGGAAGGGGTTCCCTCTCTCCTCGTTACCTCCCCAGGGTGTCACATCATGCAAACTGCTGCAGTTCTGACTTTTTCCTTTTTTCCTTTTTACCCTTAAATCAGTCCGCAAACCAGCCCTTCATTTTCCTTCTCTTCTACGTTTTGCAGCTGGACCAGATCTCCATTTCCTTCGATGGCGGCAAAACCACCATGAACTTCATAGAGGCAGCTCTGGTGATCCAGGGCTCTGCCTGCATCTACAGCAGGAAGGTGAGCGCGCCGGGGGCACGGCCACGGCCTCGTCCCGGTCCTGGTCCCCCAGCTGGGGCTCCTGGGGCTGAGGCTCCCACGGGGGCTGCTTTGGGGAGCTGCCCTCGAGTTTGGGAGACTTGAATATAATAGGGATTCAGAAGGTTATTGATCTCCTAAACCCCATCCCTTTATGTGTTGGGATTGGCAGCCTGGGGAAAAAAAGCAAAAACCAACCTCTTTTCCCAAACCTGAATTCAAAATGGCTTGAATGGGAAAAAAATAATGAGATTGTCAAGAAACTGAACTCTGGCTGATAAGGGAAGGGCCGTGGTCATCCTGGCATCAGCTGGAGGGTTTTTCTGGGAGCTGCTTTCTCTGTCTCTGAGCCTGGCCCCTGTGTTGCAGGTGGAGTATCTCTACTCCCTGGTGTACCAGGCGCTCGACTTCATTTCCAATAAGAAGTAAGTAACGAGCCCCAGCCGCTGGGAGGGGACCCTTGTAGGGGCTGGGGTCTTGCTGCAGATCCCATGGCTTTAGCACGACACACGGCCGTGTCCCCTCGCTGCATGGCCCCGCTGAGCTGCAGAGCTCCTGCCGCAGCCACGTGTGAGCCCTGCAGGCACAGGGACGGGGCCGTGACCTGTCCCACCTACAGGGAGAGCCCCCGGGGCTCTGCCCCCGCTCAGGGCCCTGCTGTGCTTTTCCTGAGCCCCCCTCCCTCACGGCAATCCTTTATTTTAAAACCAAGGCAGCCGATGGCAGCGGCAGCCCCAGGAGGCGTTCTCTGGGGGCGAGGATTTCTGCAGGCGGTTTGAGCGCCCCGCCGGGACTCGGTTCTGTCTCGGGGGCGTGGGGCCGAGCTCTTCCCCCGGAGCATTTCCAGCAGCACCGTGCTGGGGTTTTGTCACCCGGCTGTTGGGTAAGGAGGGGGCCGTGCCCTGCACCCCTCAGCACGCCCCTTGGCACACGACGTGCCCCCTGTGGCAGAGCCTGGTGATTTGTTTTCCCCCCCTGGCAGGGAGCAGGGCGCTGCCCTTGCAGTCGCAGTTCCCAAATTGTCTTGCACAAGTCGGCTCCTGCCAACCCGGCTCGAGTTCAGAACCTGGCTCCCACAAGGAGGGGTCAGCTTGCGACACCGTGCTGTGTTCCTGTGTGCCCTCGGGTGGATTTTGTAAAACACGAGGGTTTTGTGAGGCGCCTGGCACCAGAGGGTGCTGGGCTCGGGCAGCCCCAAACCTCATCGGGAGCCATCGGGAGGCTCTGCTGGGGCTGCAGCACCGTGAAGCTGCTGCAGGGGTTCCTGAACATCCCCCAAATTATCTCCACGCTGCGTTGCTGCCTTGCAGCGAAACCTTCTCCTCTTTCCAATTGAGCTCCTGAGCTGGGCGGGACGTTTTTGTTCAAGATAGGATTTGCTGGATGGACTCAGTCCTCTCTTCCCTCAGGTCCTGATTCCTTTGCAGCCCCCCAGCACCGGCAGGACCGTGGGGGTCAGGGAACGAGCTGATGCCGTGGCTGTCCGTGCCTGGGAGTCCTGCCTGGAGACACGGGACGCTGCGCCAGTAGCTGTGTGCGCCACGGCTGGGCTGGGGGAAGGCTGCTGCTGCTCTGCCCGAGCCTTTACCCGGTGCTGCCCAGCTCCTGACCGCGTTTCTGCTCCCTGACAGGCGGGAGAAGCAGCCCTGCTCCGTGGGGGAGGACGGCAGGGACGCCGACGCAACCTTCGGGACGGAGGAGGAGGAGGTGAGGGGACGCGGCGCTGTGCTCCCTGCTGCCTTCAGCCCCACGTCTGCCCCCTCCTGCCCCCAAGCAGGGGCTCCTTGGGAGGTTTTTGTCATGAAAATCCTGCGTGGCCTCCCAGGGAAGGGATTTGCTGCCTCGCAGCCCTGCTGGGAGAGCTTGTCCCCTGCACAGCACCTGGGGACCTGTCCTGTGCCTGAGCCTTCCTTCGGCTGGCACGGCTCGGGTTGGAAGGGACCCCAAAGGTTAAAGGGACCCCAAAGGCCACCTATTAAAGGGACCTTAAAGAGCATCTGTTAAAGGGACCTTAAAGGCCAGCTCCTGTCCTGGCAGAGGCCCCAAACCCAGAGTTTTTCCCTCTGTTCGGTCCCGGCCGTGCAGCAGCAGCTCTGGGCCCCCACGGGGTGCCGTGGTGCAGCACGCCCGGCCCCGCTGCCAGCCGGTCACCACCACGGGCCTCTCTCTCTGCAGTTCCTCTCCCTGGACGACATCAAGGACAGCAGCCAGGGCAGCGTGGACATGAGGAGGGAGCAGCAGCCCAGCGTAAGGGAGCCTGCTGGCGGCCTTCTCATGCCCCTGGGGCTGCGAGGGGCAGCGCTGCCCACGCCGTGCCCGCGCCTCCCGTCCGGCCCCGAGCAGTGGCAGCCACGCTCCTGTTCTCGTCCCCGCAGGCTGTGAACATTGTTCCCCTGACCCCGATGTCTTTGGTGCCCCCGGAGGAGGCTGAGAAGAAGAACAACCCCCTGTTCAGGTGAGAGCCCACCTCACCACCCCCCCGGTGTCCAACTGGGACCCCAGCTCGTGCTGCAGTACGGCCAGGCTGTCCCCGTGCCATCGTTGGGGGGAATGGCCCTGTTCCCGTTAAACCCGGGAGGCAGGGGGGGAGGAGGAGGAGGAGGAGGAGGAGGAGGAGAAGGAATAATCCTGAGGGCTCCAGGAGCCTGCATGACGGGCCCGTTGTCCCCATGTCCCCAGCCACAAGGGCGAGGTGCTGGCCAGCCGCAAGGATTTCCGCATGAACACCTGCACCCCCCCACGCCACCGGCGCCTTCATGCTGGAGCTGGGGGGGCTCCTGCCCACGGGCCTGCAGGACTGGCACCACGAGGGGAGCGTCGCTGGAGCCGCAGGTACGGGGCCGGGGTGAGGAGCCCTGCGGGGCAGGAGGCAGCACGGAGCGGGGCTGCCCTGCTGGGGGGCTTCGCTTGCCCTCTGCCTCGAGAGGCTGCGAGCTCCTGGGGGTGGAGGAGATGCGGCTCTGCCTCTCCTCTGCTGCCCTGCCTCTGCCAAAAACACCCAGACTGCCAGCTCAGGGGGTGGTTACTGCAGAAAATTGGGCATGGGGGAGACCTGGGGCTGCGCAAAGGCAGGGCCCAGCCTGGGGAGCTGCCCCTGCGCTGCCACCGCAGCCACTCTGTGTGTGGGGCCGTGGTGACCCCCAGCCTCTGTCACCTCCCAGGAGCCCGGTCCTCGGTCCTCGGCGGCGGCAGGGAGCCCCTGCACCTCGGCGCTGGTGCGACGCCCGTGCAGGCACTGAACTTCTCTGAGGATGGAGGTGAGGGGCTGGCGGTGGGGTCTGTCCGTCCGTTCCACCCTGCGTGCCCGGGGGGCGCCGTGCTGCTCCCAGAGGTGCTCCCGTCCTCTGCGCACCCCCAGCCGGCCCGGGTGTTGTGATTTAAGGAGTAAAACTCCCCAGGGAAGCTCCCCCTCGGGCAGGGTGGAGAAGGGAGACCCCGGGAGAGGCCGTCCCAGGTCCTGACTGCATCCTGCTGTCCCCGTAGGTGCTGCGGGGCCGGATGACAGCAGGGACGACTTGCCCATGGTCCCCGAGGACAACGTGGAAATGGCTGCGGCTGCCGATGAGCACATCGAGGCGCAGAGGGTAGGGCAGGCAGGGTGTGTGGGGGGGCCCCACAGCTCCTGGCTCCTGCCCCAGAGCCCGGCTGCCCACGGCTCGCTGCTGCCTGACGCTTTGTGTCTGCCAGGGTGCACCCCAAGCCAAGGGCTACGCGCTGCGGGAGCGAGCCCCTGCCCAGGACCCCCAGGAACACATCAAGGTGAGGGCCTGGAGATGAGCCGGGGGGGCAGCAGCGCTGCCTGGGTGCTGCGGGAAGCCCCCAGCTGTCCCTGCCCTCCCCACCCCGCTCTGTGCCGTGCTGGTGCCGGGGGATCCCTGCGGCTCCGCTGCCCCCATCCCGGCTGAGAGCTCGCTTCCTCCCCCAGATGCTGGACCCGTGGCAGAGCCTGGACCCCTTTGGGGACTCCGAAGACAAACCCTTCAAGAAAGGTGCCTGGGGAGGGGCCGGGACGCCTGCCTGCCCCCTGCCCCGGAGCTGCTCGCGTGGCTCACCCCCCTCTGCCCGCAGGGAGACCCTTCCTGGTGCCGCAGGGCCTGGACGACGTGGTCGGGAGCAAGAGGAAAAGGAAGGGGCCGAGGAAGCTGCAGGACTTCTTGAAGTGGTTCTCTGCCTCCTGTGAGTGTCACAGCTCTGCCACCTCCCACCCTGCTGCGGGTTCGGGGCAGGAGCTCTGATGGGGGGCCTGGTGCTGCCCCAGTGCTCCCCGTGTGCGCCCCAATTTGCCGGGTGGGGTGTGGGGTACAGCGGCTGCCCCTCAGCACTCGTAGGGCTTCAAGGAGGGAGGAGCAGGTGGCTTTTTTATTTTATTTATTTTTATTTTATGAGTTGGAAGGGACCCACAGGGATGGAGTCCAACTCCTGGCAGCACACAAATTTTGGGTCTAACCCAGAATTTTAGCCCAAGCAGGGCAGAGCTCTGCGCCCCACTGGGTGCTGCCCTGGTGGGGCCACCGGGCACCTGCTCAGGGGACACTGACAGGGACACGGGGACTCCCCTCCTGCTTCCCGCAGACAGCGACGCTGCAGACGGCAGGAGAACGAAGAGGAAGGGGCCGACGTTCGCGGGTGAGTGGGGGGGGTGTCAGGAGGGGGGGCTGCAGGGGACCCCCCCCATCGCTGCGGGGCCGTGGGGCGCTGAGGCCGTGCCCGTGTGGTGCCTGCAGACCTGGAGGTGCTGTACTGGAAGCAGCTGAAGGAGCGGCTGGCGGCACAGAGGAAGCTGCAGAGCAGGGCGGTGAGCGGGGACGGGGCTGGGGGGCTCGGGGGGGGGATTGGGGGGCTCGGTGGGGCGCTGGGCTCAGCGCTGCCCCCCCAGAGGCCACCCTGGGTGCCGCCACTGGAGCGCGAGGAGGAGCCAGAGGCGCTGGAAGAGGAGCACGAGGATGATGACTTCAGGGGGGACGCTGAGGAAGGCCCAGGTATGAATGGAGCCCCCCGGGGGGGGGGGCTGAGAATCCGCAGGGCCAGGCAGCCGCGGTGCTGAGCCTGCCCCCCCCCGCCCGCAGAGGATTTTCTGGAGCAGGAGGACTTCCAGCTGCACGCCCCGGAGCCGGCGGTCGAGGGAGACGTGGGTGAGCTCTTGTGGGGGGCTTTGGGAGGGCTCCCCCCGCTCAGCAGCAGCCCGGGGGGGGCCTCCCCTTCCCCGCTCAGCACCGAGGGGCTGGCACCACGCTGCCCCCCCCCAGCACCACCCGGCCCTCTCCCAGGTCCCTGCGACTTGGACGCGCTGAGCTACGAGGAGCTGGTGAGGAGGAACGTGGTAGGTGTCACACAGACAGCACCCACGGGTTTGGGGCACCCCCTGTCCCCGTGCTCCCCCCATCCCCGTGCTCCCCCCATCCCCTTTTTTCCCCCCCCCAGGAGCTGTTCATCGCCAACTCGCAGCGCTACGTGCAGGAGACGGAGCTGTCGCAGCACATCCGCCAGTGGGAGGAGAAGATGGGGCCGCTGCTGCAGGAGCAGGCAGGTGGCGGGGGGCAGGGGGCTGGAGGGGGGCTGGGGGGGCCGCCCTGACCCCCCCCCCTTTTATCCCGCAGGAGGAACGGGCGGCCTTCGACATCCACAGCTACGGGGACCGGCTGGCCGCACGCTTCGGGCGCCTGGGCGAGTGGCAGCCCTTCCGCAGCCTGGTGGCGGGGCTGCCGGCCTTCGAGGTGTGCCGCTGCATGCTGGCCTCCCTGCAGCTGGTGAGCGGGGGTCTCGGGGGCTGGGGAGGGGTCCGGGGGGGGGCTCAACGCAGCCCTCCCGACCCCCTGCCCCTCTCCGCAGGCCAATGACTACACGGTGGAGGTGGCGCAGGACCCGGGGCTGGAGGAGGCGGTGGACACCATGCGGCTGCGGCTGCTGCGGCAGGGGCAGGCTCGGGAGCGCTTCCAAAACTACCGCGCCTCCGTGCTCTGCGACTGAACCCCCCCGGGTCCTGTACGGCCCCCCCGGGTCCCATACAGCCCCCCTGAGTCCTGTACAGCCCCCCCTTGTGTACAGCTCCCTGCGCAGTGCCCCCTTTTTCAGCAATAAACGCCCAGTTTCCAAACCTCCTGCCTTGTTGTGCCACCCCCAGCCCATCCCCAGCATCACCCGGCTCCGGCACAGCCCCATGGGGTTGGGGAGGGTCCCGTCCCCATGGGGTCCACACCGGGGGGGGTCCACTCACCACCCCCTCCCCATTGTCACTCAGTCGGGGAGCGGCTCGTAGGTCTGCATGTGGCGCCGCACGCTGTCGGCGATTTGGGCGGGGGTCTTCCCGCGGCCGTAGTAGTCGAGGAAGAGCCCGTCGGGACCCAGCAGGTAGATGACCACCGTGTGGTCCACGATGTAATCCCCGTCCTGGTCCTTGGGGCCGGCGCGGGCGTAGACGCGGTAGGCACCACCGGCCGCCCGCACCTGCTCGGGGCTGCCGGTCAGCCCCAGCAGCCGGGGGTGGAAATCGCGCACGTAGCGCGCCACGGCCGCCACGTCGTCGCGCTCGGGGTCCACGGTGACGAAGAGGGGCTGCAATGGGGGCAGCGCCGCGTCGGCCTCCAGCAGCTCCACCGCCCGGCTCAGCTTCTCCAGCTCGTCGGGGCAGACGTCGGGGCAGTGCGTGAAGCCGAAGTAGAGCAGCACCCACTGCCCAAGGAAATCCGCCTTGCGCCGCGGCCGCCCGGTGTGGTCCAGCAGCTGGAAGTCGCCCTGGCCCAGCGCCAGCTCCCGCAGCTCCCGCGCCCGCCGCCGCCGCCGCTCCTGCTCCCGCTGCGCACGGAGGTGCAGCCAGGCCCCCGCCGCCGCCCCCCCCAGCACCGACACCACCGCCAGGCGCTGCCACAGAGGCAGCGGGGGACGGCCCCCCCCTCCTGGGGGTGATGATGATGAAGATGAGGATGATGATGATGGTGATGATGATGGAGACCCCCAGGACCCCCACGGCCCTCGGGAGGGGGTGGGGGCTGCAGGGGGGGCCCGGAGCAGGGCCCGGCAGCAGCGCAGGCAGCGCATGGGGAGCAGGGACTGGGCCATGGCGGGGCTGGGGGCAAAGGGGGGGGGGGGCACGGTGAGCACTGAGACCCCGGTGCACCCTGACCCCCCCCCAGTGCCCCCTGATCCCCCCCGGTGCCCCCTGACCCCCCAAATGCCCCCTGACCTCCCGGTGCCCTCTGATACCCAGTGTCCCCTGACCTCCCAGTGCCCCCTGACTCCCCCCCGGTGCCCCTGACCTCCCAAATGCCCCCTGACCCCCTTAGTGCCCTTTGACCCCCGGTGCCCCCTGAGCCCCCCGGTGCCCCCTGACCCCCCCCCAGTGCCCTTTGACCCCAGTGCCCCCTGACCCCCCCAAATGCCTCCTGACCCCCCGGTGTCCTCTGATCCCCGGTGCCCCCTGACCCCCTCAGTGCCCTTTGACCCCAGGCGCCCCCTGACCCCCCAGTGCCCCCTTAACCCCCCGGTGCCCTCTGATCCCTGGTGCCCTTTGACCCCCGGTGCCCCCTGACCCCCCCAAATGCCTCCTGACCCCCCCCGGTATCCTCTGGTCTCCAGTGCCCCCTGACCCCTTCAGTGCCCTTTGACCCCCGGCGCTTCCTGACCCCCCCGGTGCCCCCTGACCCCCAAATGCCCCCTGACCCCACAGTGCCCTTTGACCCCCAGTGCCCTTTGACCCCTCTTGCTCCCTGCCCCCTCAGTGCCCTTTCATCCCCGCTGCCCCCCGCCCCTCCGGTGCCCCCCGCCCCCCCCGCAGCACTGACCCCTGGTGCCCCCTGGTGCCCTCTGACCCCCCGGTGCCCCCTGACCCCCCCGGAGCCCTTTGACCCCCGGTGCCCCCTGCCCCCCCGGTACCCTCTGACCCCCCCGGTACCCCCCCGGTACCCCCCCGGTACCCCCCCGGTGCCCCCCGGCCCCTCCCTGCTCCCGCACCCTTTGCCCCCCCCCGCCCCCCCCAGCCCCCTTCGCCCCCCACCTGGTCCCGTTGCCGCACACCGGAAGTGCCCCGCAGGGAGGGGGGGGCGGGGCGGCCGCTCGCGCACGCGCAGTGCCCGCGGGGGGGCAGCAGGAACGCCAGGGGGCGCCGCTGAGCGCGGCTGGTGGGGGGGGCACCCACGTGACCCTGCAGTGCTCCACGTGACCCCTGTGCTCCACGTGACCGCGGCGGGGCCTGGAGCGGGGCCTCGGGGCGGCCCGGGGGGGGAGGGGAAGGGGGGGGGGGGCACCGGGACGGGCACAGCGCGGGGCGGACCTGGGGGCACTGCCGGGGGCACGCCTGGCACACCCAGTGTCACTCCCAGCACACCCGGTGTCACCCCCAGTGTCACCCCTGGCACCCCCCGTCACGCCGTTGCACACCTGGTGTCACACCCGGTGTCACACTGCCCTGTCACACCATTGCACACCCAAAGTCACACCTGGTGTCACGCCTGGCACACCCATCACACCTGGTGGCACACCCATCACAGCCCGTGTCACACCTGGTGTCACATGCCATGTCACACCCATCACGCTTGATTTCACACCCTGTGTCACACCCAGTGTCACACCTGGTATCACACTGCCTGTCTGTCCCCAAAACCAGCTGGGACCGACCTGGTGGGTGGGCCAGGAGCCGAGGAGCAGCTGAGCCTGAGCACAGGCAGCCGGTGGTGATGAAGAGGAGGCATCGGCCTTCATCCCCACAGCCCCCAGTGACCACCACTGGGAGGGGCTGAAGGAAACGAGATCTGGGGTTAATTTAATGGGAAGCGGGGACAGGTTATGAGTACAGGCGCATTGGGAAACGCCACGCGTGTGGAGCTTTATTGCACGTAGCCAGGGCACGCTGCCACGTCGGGTGGGCACGGCTTTGGTGGGAGCACCCCCGGGCTGCCCAGCGCCGGGTAAACACAGCGACCCCACAGCCCCACCAACAGCGGGGGCCGTTTCCACAAGTCAGCTGCTCACCATCACCATCACCATCACCATCACCATCACCATCCCCGTGTGGGGTCAGGGCGCACCGCGGGGCAGCACGGTCTCGGCGATGCGGGACACGGCGGTGCCGGTGCCGGTGGTGCTGGTGGTCTCGGTGCCGGTGGTGCCGGTGCCCAGCAGCAGCGCGTCCTGCAGGGCCTGGCGCTGCTCAGCCCTCAGCCCCCCGTCGTGGTGAAGCCGCAGCCAGGGCTCCCCTGTGGGCACGGGGATGCAGGGCATGGGGCGCGGGGATGGGGGCGCAGGGATGGGGACATTGGGATGGGGTCCCCACGCCACCGCCATCACCCCCCCGCCGCCCCCTTACCTTCCCGCAGGTGCTGCCCCACGGCCACCAGCAGCTCGGCGCCCACGCGGGGGTTGATGGCGTCCCCCACACGCGTCCGGCCGGCCCCCAGCTCGTGCAGCACGCGGGCCAGCGGCAGCGCCTCGATCCCCTGCACCCTGCCTGCGCCAGCAGCAGCGTCACCCACAGCACCGGGCACCGGGGTGGTGGGGAGCTGGGGGGGGTACTGGGATGTGGGGGTGGTGGGGAGCATCAGGGGGGCACCAGGATGTGGGGGTGCTGAGCACTGGGGGGGGCACTGGGATGCAGGATCTGGGGCTCGGCAGGGGGCTGAGCACCCCATGGTGCCCACAGGGGGGGTGCTGGGGGGTCCGGCGCTCGGGGCATGGGCAGGGGGCACGGGGCTGCGGGTGGGGTCGCAGGGTGCCGGCCGGGACCCCCAGCCCCCCCCCCCCTCACCTTCGCAGGGCGCCAGCAGCTCCTCGCAGGTGCCCGCCTGCCCCAGGACCTGGCGGCGCTGCTGGGGGGTCCCCGTGCAGAGCAGGCGGGCGGTGTCGGGGGGCACCCCCTGCGCCCCCAGCATGGCCTCGAAGGTGCTCAGGGCCGAGCCGTCGTCCAGTGCCCGTGCCAGCCGCTCCTGGCCCTGCTCTGCCGTCGGGGCCATCCCGCACTGCCACAGCAGCAGCCCCCCTGTGGGACACGGCACGGCGCTGGGACCCCTGTGCTCACCCCCCCCAGGGTGCAGAGACCGGGAGCAGCCCCCCAGAGATGAGTGGGGGGAGCCTGGGGGCTGGGGGTGGTGGTGGGGGGCCACAAGGGGCAGGGGACATGGGTGGGGGTGTGGGGAGGACAGGGAGCAGGAGCAGCAGTCTGGGGAGGAGGGGTGCAGGGCTGGGGCAGGGGGCTCGTGCGTGCCCTTGGGCAGTGCCCACCCCGTCCCCATCCCTGTCCCCATCCCCGTCCCCATCCCCATCCCCATCCCCATCCCCGTCCCCATCCCATCCTCATCCCCGTCCCCATCCCATCCCCATCCCCATCCCCGTCCCCGTCCCCGTCCCCGTCCCCGTCCCCATCCCCGTCCCTGTCCCCATCCCAGCGCTGACCCAGCACCGTCACCAGCTCCCGGAGGTCACCGGGGCCGCGTCCCTCCAGGCACTGCAGCGCCTCCAGCACCTCCAGCGCGTTGCCCACGCAGCGCCCCAGGGGCTGCTCCATGCTGCTCAGCACGGCCGCTGTGCGGATGCCCAGCTCCTCGCCCACCGCCACCTGCACGGGGGCACCGGGCATCACGGGGGGCACTGGGCATCACGGGGGGCACCGGGCATCGCGGGGGCACCGGCCCCAGCGCTGTCCCCAGGGGAGTCCCCTGGGGGGTCTCACCAGGCTCTGTGCCAGCTCCCGCGCGCTCTCCAGGGTTGGGTACAGCGCCGCGCTCCCGAATTTGACGTCCAGCACCAGCGCCGAGATCTGCTCCGCCGCCTTCTTGCTCAGGATGGAGGCTGGGGACGGGGTGGGCGCGAGGTCGCAGCAGTTCCAGCCCCACAGCCCCAGCCCAGTGCCCACTCCCCGGGGTCCTGGTTGGATGGGGGGGTTGGGGGGGTCCCATCCCACAGCCCCCCGGTACCTGTGATGAGGGGGAGGCTGTCGACGGTGGCGGTGACGTCCCGCAGGCTGTACAGCACCCGGTCGGCCGGCACCAGCTCCTCGCTCTGCCCCACGATGCAGCAGCCCACCTGCTCCAGGATGCTCTGCATCTGCGGGGCCGGGGACATCGGGGTCCTGCATCCCGCATCCAGCCCCCATCCTCCTCCACATCCCTGCCCCATATCCCACACGGGTCCCACCAGCACCCCATATCCCACCAGCATCCCATATCCCATCAGCGTCCCATGTCCCATCACCATCCCATACCCCCTCTGACTCCCGTGTCTGTCTCATCAGCATCCCACACCTTGTCCACATCCCAAGACCCTTCAGCATCCCGCATCCCATCGGTATCCCGCATCCATCCACATCCCACATCCCACCCGTATCCCATTGGCATCTTGCATCCCATCCACATTCTGTCAGCATCCTGCATCCCACTGGCATCCCACACCCTACTGGCATCCCAAAACCCATCAGCACATCCCAAAACCCATCAGTGTCCCATGTCCCCCTCTCTGCCCCCCTGGCCCTGAGCCCCTCCCCGCTCGCCCCCGCACTGCCGCTGTTTCCCCTTGTCCCCTTGTGGGCCACCCCCATGCAGTGTGCGTGGAGCAGCGGGGTCTGTGAGCACCGGGGTGACCCCAGAGCACCACCCGCCCGTCATGGTGGGGGTTAGGGGCAGCTGCCCCCACGGGCAGAGCCTGGGCTCCAGCCAAATGGGAATGGAGCGACCCCGTGCCAGCGGGATGGGCAGGGTGTGCATGGTCCCCCATCCCTGTCCCCATCCCATTCCGTGTCCCCATTCCATGTCCCCAACCCCATCCCGTGTCCCCCCGCACCTGCTCAGGGCTCTGGGAGACGCAGAAGCCGGGGATGGCCTCCAGCTTGTCCAGCGTGCCCCCGGTGTGCCCCAGCCCGCGGCCGCTGATCATGGGGACCTGTGGGCGCAGGAGGGTGGGCGCAGGCGGGGACCCTGCGGTGCTGCCCCCTCCCCATCCCTATCCCCGTCCCCATCCCCATCCCCATCCCCGTCCCCGTCCCCGTCCCCGTCCCCGTCCCCGCTCACCTTGCAGCCACACGCAGCCAGGGCAGGGGCCAGGGCCAGGCTGACCTTGTCCCCAACACCGCCGGTGGAGTGCTTGTCCACCAGCCGCCCCCGCCAGCCCCGCGGCCAGGCCAGCAGCCGGCCCGAGGCCGCCATGGCGCGCGTCAGCGCCAGCGTCTCCTGCGCGTCCATGCCCCGCAGCCGGATGGCCATCAGCATGGCACCTGGGGGCGGGGGGGGGACCCCAGTGACCCCGCCTGGAACCCCCCAGTGACCCCACCTGGGAGCCCCCAGTGCCCCCAGCCACGTCCCCCCGCTGTGTCCCGTTCCCTTTTGCCGTGTCCCCATGCCAGGAGCCCCCCCTGCCCTCCCCAATCCTTCCATGTCCCCCCAGCCCGTGTCCCCCCAGCCCTGCCGTGCCCCAGCTGCCTTTGGCCGTGTCCCTGTGCCAGGTCCCCTGGCTGTGTCCTCCCCAGCGATGTCCCCAGGTGTCCCCCCCGTGCCCTATTCCCCACCACATCCCCGTGCCATGTTCCATACCGTGCCCCAGCTGCCCCCACCCCTCACCCGCCCCCAGCCCCACGCATGCCAGCAGCATCCCCCCGCCACCAGCCCCCTCCTGCCTCCCCCTGGTCCCGTTCCAGGTCCCCGCAGTGCCCCCCCGGCCCTGCTGTGCCCGCACCGATCTGTCCCTGCTGCGCGGAGCCCTCGGTCACGCCACGCACGAAGCTCTGGATCTCCTCATCCCGCAGCCGCTCGCCGTCACGCTTCCTGCGGATGAGGGCCGGGAGCGAGACCGGGGGGGCGTCCATCGCTGCCCCCCTGCCGCTGGCACTGCCCCCCAGCCACCAGCACCGCTCCTCTGCCACCGGCACCGCTGCGCCACCCGCCCGGTCACGGAGGCGCCTTGGGCACTGGACTCTGCCCCCAGGGCAGGGAGCGAGGTGGCAGAGCTGGGGCTGGGGCTGGGGCCGATGCCCTCGTCCTTTCCTCTCTGCCCCCGGTGTTTCGGTTCCCGACGGTGACGTGGGGCAGGAGCGGGGCTCTGCGTGTCTCTGCCTGCCCGGCACGGTGCGCGGCTCAGCACCCTCCACACCCACGGCACCCACGGTGGGTGCAGCGCCCACGGGTCCCACGGTGCCCACAGCCCCCAGGGCGCCCCCAGCACCCCGGTCCCGCAGTGCCTTGCTGTTGAGTGCCCCCTCCCCGTCCCCGCGGGGCCGTGGTGACCTTGGCATGGCCGCAGCGGTGGCACGGGGCACAGGAGGCAGTGCCACGGCCCAGACCCGATCGCTCCCAGCCCCACCCGTGCCCGTGGCGCCTGCACCCGTGGGGCTGTGACAGGAGTGGCTGCAGCGTCACCGGGGTCAGCAGGGGACAAGGGGTGGCGGGGGGCAGCTGTGGGGTCAGGGGGGGTAAAGGGGTGTGAGGGACATGGGGGCTTGGGGAGCATGAGGGGACACAGGGAGACGGAATGTGGGGGGACATGGGGATGGGATGGGGATGGGATGGGATGGGGATGGGATGGGATTGAAATTGGGATGGGGATTGGGATTGAAATTGGGATGGGGATGGGATGGAATGGGATGGGATGGGGATGGGATGGGATTGAAATTGGGATTGGGATTGGGATTGAAATTGGGATGGGGATGGGATGGGATGGGATGGGATGGGATGGGATGGGGACGGGGATGGGATGGGATGGGATGGGATGGGATGGGATGGGATGGGGACGGGGATGGGATGGGATGGGGTGGGATGGGGATGGGGATGGGACAAGATAGGGAGAGAATGGGATGGGTTGGAGCAGCCAGGTCGGGGCATCGCTGTGGATCTGGGGATCCACATGTGGGATCCACATGGATGTGGGGCTGGGGATCCCCCCCCTTGCTCCCCACCTCTGCCTTGCTCCCCAGACCCCCCTTGCTCCCTGCCCCCCCCTTGCTCCCCAGCCCTCCCAGAGCCCCAACCCAGACGGGGTGGGCACAGCCCCCATCCCGTTGACACACTGAAACACGAGGCGAGCGGCTGAGTCTTTTGGCACCGATCTTTTCCCATCAGAGGCCGACCCCCCCCGCGCCCCCCCTAGTCGGGCACGTCCACGATGAGCGGGGCCAGGTAGTCGGAGTGCCGGATCCCGAACGTCAGCCCCTGCGGCTTGCCCTGGGGGCGAGGCGGTGAGGGTGAGGGTGAGGGCGAGGGCTGGGGGCTGCCCCCCGTGCCCCCCCTGCCGCCCCCGCCGTGTCCTCACCGTGCTGGGGCTGTAGGCGCCAGGTCCTGGTTTGAGGGTGGTGTCCCCGGGCAGCTCGTTGCGTGCCAGCATGCTGTACTGCGGCGCGCGGCTCTTGTAGACGTTGGCATCCACCACGCGGTAGTTGCAGGGTCCCGGTGTCTGTGGGGAGGGGGGGTGGCGATGCTCGGCTGTCCACCCCCCCCCAGTGCCCCCCCGGTGCCCCCTGACCCCCCCCTCACCTTGCACAGGTCCTGGTAGAAGGCGCCCACGGTGCTGCGCCCCGGCATGGAGTAGTTGGGGGCCGAGCTCTTGCTGACGATGCGGGGCCCCAGCATGGGGGGCAGGCGGTACGCGGCGGGGCCTGGGGGGGGCGAGGAGGTCAGGGGGCTCAGGGGGGGTCAGGGGGTGGCGGGCGGTGGGCTTTGACCCAGGGGGAGAGGGGGGCAGAGGGGCTCAGCCCGGGGATGGGGGCTCAGTTCAGGGATGGGGGCTCAGGTGAGGGATGGGGGGGCTCAGTCTGGGCATGGGGGGGGGCTCAGGATGGGGTGGGGGCTTGTTTCAGGAAGGGGGCTCTCAGCTCAGTGTTGGGGAGGCTCAGCCTGGGGATGGGGGCTCAGCTCAGGGATGGGGGGGGGCTCAATTCAGGTATCAGGGTCTCAGCCCGGGGTTGGGGGGCTCTCCCCCTGGGGATGGGGCTCAGCCCAGCCCGGGGGTGGGGGGGGGCTCTCAGCCCACCCCCTTTCCCGTACCCGGCGTCTGGTCGCTGGCGAACTCCTTGGTGCGGGAGCGCAGGGAGTAGACGGGTGGGGAGGGGAATGCCCACCTCCCGGCCTTCTCCGGCGAGTAGCAGCCTGCAGCGGGGCGACACCACGGCCATGTGGGGAGGGGGCTCCCGCCTGCCTCCCCCCCCCCACCCCCACCCCCACCCCCGGCACCGTCAGGGCTCCCCACCTGGCCCAGGCGTCCGGAAAGGCTCCAGGTCCCGGGGGCGGCCGTAGATGGAGTACGCGGGGGTCCCGTCCTTGCCCTTGGCGGTGGTCCTGGGGGGCAGCATGTACGCGGGCCCCGGGGAGCGGTCGTCCGGGTGCTGCGCCAGGCGGGCACCGAAGCTGTAGGCGGGGGCGCGGTGCCGGGACGGGTCGTGCAGCCGGTACCCTGCGGGGCACGGGGGGCACGGTGGGTGCAGGACACCCCTCCGTCCCCTCACCACCCCATGGCACCCTCCCGTCCCCCCCCTACTCACCGACATTGGTGGGGAGCCCGTACTTGGGCCCAGGGCTGCTGTAGAGGGCGGCGATGGGGCCGCGGGGGCGGTGGGGTCTCCAGGTGCCCACCCAGGCGCTGGTCGACATGGTGGGTGCGCGGCTCTGCCCGGCACTGCGAGGAGGTCCCGGCCCCGTCAGCGGGTGCCCGCCTCGGGGGTCTCACCAAGGGACGTGTCCCCCCCTCCCCTCCCCACCACGCAGCCCCCGGCCGAGTCCCAGTCCCTGGGAGCGGTGCCCCCCGTCTGGGTGCTGTGCAGTGTCCCCGTGCCCGTCCCCGTCCCCGTCCCTGTCCCTGTCCCCGTTCCCCTGCAGTGGGGCCGGGCTCAGCCCCACAGGTTCTGGGGCACAGCCAAGCCGGGCTGTCACAATGGCCCCCATGGGTGGGGGGCTCTGGGTTCTTTCCCCCCCCCCTGACCCCAGTACCCGTGGGGCTGAGCAGAAGCCGTGCCCCAGCTCCTGGGTCAAAAGACCCCGGGATTGCTCCCAGGATTGCCCCCAAGTGCTGGGGGAGCCCCAGCAGCCCAGGACTGAACCAGGAGGAGCGGGACCCAGCACCTCCTGGATTTAGCCCCCAGCACCCCCAGGATGAACCCCCCAGCACCCCACAAATTCAGCCCCAGCACCCTCTGCATGTTCCCCAAGCACCCCCAGATGCAGCCCCAGCACCCTCCGGATGCACCCTCAGCACCCCCAGGATGAATCCCCTGCACCCCACGGATGCAGCCCCAGCATTTGGGGTCAGAGCCCCCCCAGCCCGAGCAGGGGTCGCCCCTTACCGTCTCTGCCCGGGTTTGGGAGCCTGGGCCCGTCCCCTGCCCGTTACTACGGCACCCGGCACAACAAACGGCGCCTGCAGCCCTGCATGGGGCTGGGACCTGCGGGCACGGACACCCGGCTCCCTCGTGTCCTGGGGGGCTGCAGGAGGGGGGGGGCTGCCCCACTGCGGGGCCAGGCTGCACCCGGGGTCATGGGCATGGGGGCTGCAGGGTCAGGGAGAGGTCACAGGGGTCCCTCGTGGCCATGGGGTCCCTCTGGGACTGCAGGAGCCCCACTGGGGTCTTGCGGGTCTCTGAGGCCATGGGGGTCTCATGGGGTTCATGGGGGTGGGCAGTGCGCTGCAGGGCTGCCCAGGGACTCCCTGTGCTGTCCCTGTCCCCATCCCATCCCATCCCCATCCCCATCCCCATCCCATCCCCATCCCCATCCCATCCCATCCCCATCCCATCCCCATCCCCATCCCCATCCCCATCCCCATCCCCATCCCATCCCCATCCCCATCCCATCCCCATCCCCATCCCCATCCCCATCCCCATCCCCATCCCCATCCCATCCCCATCCCCATCCCATCCCATCCCCATCCCCATCCCCATCCCCATCCCATCCCATCCCATCCCATCCCATCCCATCCCATCCCATATCCCCATCCCATCCCCATGTGCAGGTGCATGGTGTGCGGACCAGGCTGAGCTCAGGACCTTTATTGGGGGCCTGAGGCTGTGCCCGGGTGGGCAGGGGGTGTTGGGGCAGGGGGTGCTGGGGCAGGGGGTGTTGGGGCAGGGGGTGGTGGTGCAGGCACCACGGGCACTGCGGGTGCTGCGGGCGCTGCGTCGCTCTAGGAGAGGGACTTGCAGATGAAAGGTTTTCTGTCGCTGCAGGCTTCTGCTTCCCACGTGGTGAAATCTGGAAGGGAAAGGCGCCGTGAGCCCCCCGCACAGCCCACCCCCCCGGCAGCCGGCACCGCGCCCCGGCACGCACAGGGCCAGGTCCTGCAGCTGCCAGCCCAGCTCAGGGCAGCCAGGAGCGAGATGTGGCCAGTGTGTGTGCACAGCACGAGTGTGCGCGTGTGCCTGTGCTGTGTCTGGTGTGCACGCACGAGCCACCCAAGGGCTGCCCTGGCCATGGCCACGAGGCCGCGGGGCTCAGCCGGTGCCGCCGGTGCCGGTGCTGCCGGTGTTGGTGCCCCGGTGCCGGGCTCACCCGTGGCGTCCTGCAGCGCGGCGCAGGCTCTCCGCCTGGTGAAGGACGCCCGGTGCCAGGAGTTGTAGGCCACCGCCGTGCCGTCCGACCACTGCCAGCTGCGGCTCTGCGGGGGGACAGGGCGGTGCTGGGACTCCCGGGGACCCCCCGCATCCCCAGCCTCGGAGCATCCCGGGGCTGCCTCGGGGCAAGGAGGGGGGTTCAGGGCTGTTCCCCAGGGCTGTGCTCACCCGCAGAGGCCGGTGGAGGCCGATCCAGACCTCCTCGTCCAGCTCCTCCTCGCTGGCGTCGCCGGAGCGGGAGAAGAGCAGATCCGCCACGGCCTGCAGCTCCTCCTCGCTGTGCACCGAGGCCAGGTGGGTGCTGGAGCCGAAGCGCCGGCAGAAGGCCTGCAGCAGGGAGGGCAGCGTCAGCCCTGGCCCCCACCTCCCCAGGAGGAGGGCTGGTGGGAGCAGCGCCGGGGCTGTGGGGACGCGGGGACGCTGGCGCCTGGCACCGCAGCCTTGGCGCACAGCAGCGGTGCCACCGCGGTGTCACCCGGTCCGGTGAGGGAAGGGAGCCCTTGGAGAGGGTCCCCATCTTGGGGTGGCCCCGGGGTGCTGTGACACGACCCCCCAGGGCCGCAGAGCCCCCCCAGTGCCCGCGTTGTGCCCTGCAGCCACTCACCTCAGCCCTGCTCCAGCTCAGCTCCCAGGGGAAGAAGCCGAGGCAGCCCCCGCTGACGGGCACCCAGCCCGGGCTGCAGTCGGACAGCTCGGACAGATCCTGCCCTGCAGAGGCACCGGGTGAGGGGGGGGGCAGCGGGGGGCAGCAGGGGGCATGGGGGGGCACAGGGGGGCGCAGGGGCACTCACCCCACAGCGCAGGGACCAGCAGCAGGCAGCCCAGCAGCCAGAGCCCCGGCGTCCACGTCGGTGCCATCTCGCTCCCCTGGCAGGACACCACTGTGGGGACGGGGCCCACTCAGCACCTGGCTCCTGGGGGCTGCCTTGGCTGAGCCCCCCACCCCTACTGGCACAGGGGGGGTCTCCCTTGTGCCTGGAGACTCTCTGTCCTGGAGCAGGGGGCTCAGGCAGGGGTGCTGTGGGGACCCCAGCACCATGGGTGTGGGCACCAGTTGAGTGAGGGGAACAGGGGGACGTGGGTGCAGGGTGGGGAGCAGGGTGCAGGCACACGGGGTGCGTGGTGTGGGTGGGTGCAGGGCGCAGGAATTCAGGGATGTGAGGTGGGGGGTGCAGGATGCAAAATGTGGGGTGCAGGATGCGAGCTGCAGGGTGTGGGGTGCAGGGCTACAGGGGTGCAAGGTGCAAGGATGCTGGAGCACAGGGTGTGGGGCGCAGGGTGTGAGGATTGGGGCACTTTGTTGCGGATCTGGGGGTGCAGGGGGGCAGGGAATGAGGACGCCAGGCACGGGAATGAAGCTTACAGGTGGTGTGGGGTAGCAGTGCTGGGGCACAGAGGTGCAAGGATGCAACTTCCAGGGTGTGGGGTTACAGGGATGCAGGGGGCAGGGATATAGAGTGCAGGGATGCAGGGTGCTGGGATGCGGGGTGCAGGGATGCGGGGTGCAGGTTTTTGGTGCGCAGAGCTGTGGGGTGCAGGGATGAAGAGTGCAGGCTTGCAGGGTGGAGGTTTGTGGGGTACAGGGCTGTGATGTGCAGCATTGTGGGTGCAGGTTTGTGAGGTGCAGGGTTGCCAGGTACAGGGTTGCAGGGTGCAGGGATGCAGGTTTGGGGTGCAGGGATGGGGGGTGCAGTCTGCAGGGTACCCCAGACCGCTGTGGGGCCGGGCTGGGGGCCTGTGGCTGAGCAGAGGAGCGGGAGTGCAGGCGGGTGCAGCAGGCGGGGGCTGTGGGGGCTCACCTGTGTCCAGCAGCAGCAGCGCTCGTGTCCTCGTGTCCACGCTCCGGGCAGCCCCGGGGGTTTTATCCCCGCGAGGGCAGGGAGGGGGCCGTGGGGAGGCACAACACAGGCGGCCCGAAAATGTCATCCCTGCCCCAAAGCAAACAGGGATCACGCGCGGCAGCCTCACCGACGCACTTGGGGAGGCAGCGGCGTGTGTCCAGCACCGCCGGCCTTTGATGGGGCGGGCAGGGGGGGGCCGGGCCCCCCTCTGCTGTCGTCCTTGCTGGGCACGGGGTGGCTGTGCTGGTGCCAAGGCGGAGATGAGGCACACTGTGTGGCTGCGTGGCTTCGGTCCCGCTCGCCCCGGAGCTGCTCGGAGGGGCTGGGGGTGTCTCCGTCTCGGGGGCAGCGGGTGCAGCGCCCGCTGCTGCTGCCCGCCCCCGTGCTGCCCGCCTTCACGCCCCGCGATCAAACGCCTCTGCCCGTGCCATGGCAGGCGCCGGGCCCTGCGCCAGGACTGCCGGTGTGCCAGGACAACCCCGTGCCCGGGGTCTGCGGGGGGGCTCAGGAGGGAAAATGGGGAAATGGGGAAATGGGGGGGTCCCGGTGCCAACGGCTGCTGTGCGCCCAGGTGGCTCAGGGGGGGCAGAGCCCAGCACGGTGCTGGTGTCACCCCACAGCGTGCCCCCACCGGCACCAGGCATGGTGTGGGGTGGTGCAAGGGGGGTCTGGGGGCTGCAGGCACGGGTTGTGGCTGTGCCAGGCTGGCTGCTGGCACCCCGGTACACCGTGTGGGGGTGCTTTCTCGCAGGTCCCCCCAAGCTCTGCCCTCTGTCCCCAGCCCCTTGGTCCTGCTGCCAGCCGGCGCTGCAGGGCATGGCGGGTCTGGGAGGGGTCTGGGGGCCCTGGGCAGAAGGAGGGCTCTGCTGGGCGGTGGCTGCAACCCAAGCTGTGTTATTTCACAGAGCTCCGCAGTGAGAGCTCGGGGTTTGTGTTTGGCACAGCGCGGGGCACCCAGCCCAGCACAGCCCCGGGGCGAGGAGCGGGGGCACTGCTCACGCTGCCCCCTCCACCGCACCGGGGGGCTTGTTTGGGGATTTGGCACGAGGTAAAACAGCGCTGGGGCAGGCAGCGGTCACACTGCTCAGGTCATGGACACCATTTCTCAAGTGGTACCGAATCCCATGGCTGGTGTTGCTCACAGCAGCTGCCACCCGATGCCAGACATGGGTGCTTGGCAGGGCCAGCTCCCCAAGCACCTCAGTGCCGACCTCATTCAGCATCCCCAGCACCCAGCACCCCGAGTTACTCCCTGCAGCCTCCCAAAGCACATTCGCAGGATGCAGCCCCGTCAGGATGCCCAGGGCACAGCCAGGGAGGAAGGAGGAGCGGCGGTACCGGCACGCTGCCTTCCCTCGCACCCAGGGCAGCTCCGAGGTACCTGCAGCGGCCGCGCACAAGCTTGCAGTGGTTCTGACCTGGAAACATCCTGGGCCTGCAATTATGAACCCCCAGCTGCAGGCAGGGATGGGTTTGGCAGCCTGGGACTCGGGACGCTCACAGGGAGCGCGATGGAACAATGGCAAACGGAATGTCAGCGGCCCTGGCTGTGCGCACGGCTGTTTGCAGAGTGATTTTGGCTGCGTGCTGATGGCAATTAGGGAACACAGAGCCCAGGAGGCATCGCTGGCTGTGCAGGTCGCCTCCTCTCTCGGAGAAGCTCGTTAAGCCAAATGTGCTTCATAAAATCCGATTGCCCTCCCTGTGTGGACCCGCCGGGTGACCTGGGGCCAGTGGCTCCATGGGGCCACCCTGGGGGCTCTGCACTGGGCTCCCCCCATCCTACCCAGGCCCCTCTTGTACTGGGATCCCAGCACTGGACCCAGTTCGGAGCCCTTGGTGCAGGACGGGAACGCCGCACCCCCTCCACCACCCATGGATGGGCCAGGTTCCCCAGGGGGAGCAGGACACCAAGTGCTGGCACTCAGGACAAGTGACAAGGGACTGGGCTGGAGACCCCATGGGAGCACGAGGTCCTGGTCCCGATCCCTTTGCTGGGGAGGTCACCGCGTCCCGCTCCGCCTGGCGCCACCCGTGGCCCCCGCCTGGCACCGCTCACTGCGGATGCGGCGCGGGCAGCCCCAAAAATGCTGCCAGGGGCACTGGGTGTGGAACTGAACCCGGCACCGCCAGGCTGGCCGGGGCCCTCGCTGCCCACAGGCGGCAGCTCCAGCAGCAGGAACGGCCCCAGTCGGTGACGTTGGCTTCGGAGAGCTTTGGTGACATCTCCCAAACGCATTTTGTGCCTTGCGGTGTGCAGACCGCAGGGAAGGGTTTCTCATGCTCTGATTAAAGCTCTTTTCTTTCTGTATCCCTCGAAATCCTACAGAATGAAGGAATGACCCCAGAGCAGCCTGCAGACTGCTGGGTGAGGCTGAGCTGTGTTTGGGGAGCCGTGGGCGCCTGGGAGCTGCTCGTCCCCCTGCACCGGGGGCTCTGCTGCCCCAGCACGAGGGCAGCTCTGACCCCGTGGGGATGGGGACAGGGACAGGGACAGGGACAGGGACAGGGATGGGGAGGGGGACGTTGTGCCAGAGGCACTTGGCACTGCTGCAGCAGGGACCCCTGGCTGTGCCACTTCTTATTTTGACCACAAACTGTGCAAAACCCCCGGATTCCTCTCCTTTGATCCTTCCTCGCTCTCCTCCTACGGGATCAGACTCCCCCATGCACACCCCCACACCCCCATCCCTTGCGCACCCTTTGGCGATACCCAGCCGGGGGGGCACAGGGGGCTGGGGGCCCCTCTCCTCCACCCCGGCACGGCCCCAGGCAGTGGCACCGCTGGTCCCGGTGCCACGTCCCCATGTGCTGGGGGCTTCAGGGGTGCAGGAGAAGCACCACGGGGGTCTCTGTGCCCAGCTGTGCCCATTGTGCCCCCCCCCCACGGCTGCCCCCTTTCCCCCAAACGAGCTCTGAGTCCCTTCAGCAGTGTTCATCCCTCCAGCCCCTGCCCAGAGTGCAGCCCCCTGCCCATGGGCGCACCTCACTGCTGGCCCCGGTATCACACCACGCAGCGGGGGGCTGCAGACAGAGCCCCCCCAGGGGCAGCCCTGCTCCCTGCCATGACCAGGGGACAGCACGGAGCGGGGCAGGGGTGCAGCTGGAGGAAGAGACAGCACCAGGGCGTGCTTCGTGCGCATTTATTGAGGGGTCCCCCGCCACGGGCACAGCGAGGGCAATGGGAGCGGGGGGGCGCCGAGGGTCCGGGGTTGCAGGCAGAGGGGCTGGGGGGACGCGGGGTGCAGGAGGACGGCAGGGCCGGGGGGCAGCTCGCTGGTGGTCCCTGCTTCTAGGCAGAGTACTTGCAGACGAAGGGGTTCCTCTCGCTGCAGGAGTTGTCCTCCCACGACATGAAACCTGCGAGAGGAGAGAGCAGAGCGAGCGCTGGGGGGGCCAGAGGGGCTGCGCCGGGAGAGCCTTGCTCAGGGTGGGGGGGCTTCCAGGAGCAGCCTGGGGACGGCGGTGCCGAGAGCAGGGGTCCGTCCCCCTGTCCCCCCCCATGGGACCAGCAGTGTCCCCGCTCACCCGAGGAGCCCTCCAGCACCGTGCAGTACTTCCCCTGGGGAGCTCGTCGTCGTCCCAGGCGGAGTAGCGCTTCTTGGAGCCGTCTATCCACACCCGGGCTTGGTTCTGGGCCGCGGGAGGAGGGAGGCTGGCGTTAGGGGAGGGGGCTGCGGGACGGCTGGGGGGCTGCGTGGGCACGGGGCTGTGGGGTAGGGGGACACTGGAGGGGACACTGGGGCAGCCAGGGACAGGGACCTGCTCTGGGATGGGGGCAAACTGGGGGCAACCAGCCTGGTTCCCCTGCGCCCAGGCAGGGTTTGGAGCAGGGCACGCATCCAGGGCACCCACAGAGGGTGGGGGACGTGGGGGTCCCGGGCACCCCAGGGTGCTCACCCAGTGGTGGAGGCCGATCCAGACATTGTCCTCCTCCTCTCTGCGCTGGAACTTGGCGATGAACCTGGCCACGGCCGCGTGCTCCTCGGGGCTGTGCAGGGAGGCCAGGTGGCAGCCGGTGTGGATCACCTTGCACCAAGCCTGGGGAGGGGGGAACAGGTTGGTGAGGGGGGGGGGCTGGGGGCTGCCAGGGCAGTGGGGAGCCCGGGACCCCCCCTGCAGGGACCCCCACCTACCTCTGCCTTCCTCCAGGTGAGCTCCTGCCCGAAGTACCCGTAGCAGCTCCCCCTGAAGTCCAGCCAGCCCTTGGGGCACTTGTTGGCCTGCACCCCTGCGTGGCACAGGGCGCTTGGTGAGGGGGGGTCCAGCCCTGCCCCCCCCCAGAGCAGGGAGCCCAGGGGTGCTCTGCTTTTTGGGGCAGCCCCGAGCACCTTCCCCCTCCCATGGGTGCTCCATCCATGGGGCGATGCAAAGAGCCGGGGGGGCCCCACGTGTCCCTGGGGCTGGGGCAGGCAGGGCAGGAGCTGGACGGGGTTGGGGGGGGTCAGGAGAAGAAAAAGGGCAGGGGCTGGGGGCTGGGGGCTGGGGGCTCACCTGGCAGCGAGGGCAGAGACAGGAGACCCAGCAGGCAGAGGAACGCAGGCTGGTCCCATCCTCGTCCTTCCTGCAAAGAGAGCGGCGATGGAGCAGGGTGGGGGCACCCAAAGAGGGGGCACCCAACGAGGGGACACCCACCCGGGGGGCACCCACCCAGGGGACACCCACCCGGGGGGCACCCACCGCCCCGCGCCCACCCAGCACCTGTGTCGGAGGCGTGCAGGGGAGCGGGGCTGGTGCAGGACGTGGCCGCCCCACTGCCTTTATAGCCCCGCTGTGGGGCAGCGCCGAGGGCTGGCAGCGAGATCAAAGCCTCGGGGTGGCCCCCCCGGGGATGCGCCGGTGCCTCGGGTGGGTGCCCAGACAGACGGACAGACAGACAGACAGATGGACAGACAGGCCCCTGACCACCTGTGGGACCCCAGCCCCCTGGCCCCGAGCCCCCAGCCCCACTTTGGCCACGCTTCTTGTACCCCGGCCAGCCCCACAGAGGGGCGCAGAGCTGCGAGGTCAGCCCCGCGCTGCTTTGTGCCCCCCCCTTGTCCCCTTGCTGGGGTCCCGAGCCCCTGATACTTGGGGGGGGGGTCGTGGTTGACTGCTGCACACCCTGCACAGAGCAGACATCCCCTGGCACCTGCCCCCCCCTTGGCAAGGCTGGCCAAGAGCCCCCCGCGCCCCACAGGGCGGTGGCACCGAGGGGTCCCCGACACCCCCCTGCCCTCGGTGCTCTTTGCGCAGCGTTCGCTGCCCCCCCAGCCCCACGGCACTGGGGTGCCCCCCGTGCTCCGCTCACTCCCAGGGGGCTGAGGGGACGCTGTCCCTGCAGCCCCCTGTGGGCATGGGTCTGGGGAGGGACTGGAGGTGCTGGGGAGGGACCCATGGAGAGCTGGGGGGGGGCTCAGCACACGCAGCCCCCCCAGCGGGGCCGTGCCGGGCAGCAGAGGGTTACGGTGTGGCTGCACCCGCAGCACCCGGCAGGGTTTGTGCTTATCGGGGGCATCAGATCAGGGACACGGAGCTGGTGGGGCGGAGGAGCCCGGCTCCAGACACGCATCGGCAGCTCCTTTTCCTCCGGGCTCCGCCTGGCACCGCCGGCAGGCTGCAGCTCTCGGGGTCCCGGCGGCACCTGGGGGGCCCCAAACCCCATCCAGGACCCCCCCAGGTGTGGGGCTGAGCCATGCCGAGGGGCAGCGCTGGCTCCTGCAGCAAACCCCATGGGGGGGGGAGGGGGTGGCACAGCAGGAGGGGTGGCAGAGCCTGGGGTGCAGGATGAGACCCCAATGCAGTTTTGGGGTGCAGGATGGGGCTGTGGGTGCTCAGCCTGCGCCTGGTGGGCAGGGGGGGCACTGCGGGAGGGGCTTCTGGGGAGCATGGAGATGAACCCAGGGGCTGGGGGCTGCAGAGCCTGACCCTAACACTGACACTGACCCTAACCCCAACACCAATCCTAACCCCAGCCCCTAAACCTAACCCTAACGCTAACCCTAACCCCAACATTAACCCCAACCTTAACCCTAACCCTGACCGTCACACTACCCCTACCCCAACCACAACCCTAACCCTAACCCTGACTGTAACCCTAAACCTAACCCCCAACACTAACACCAACCCTAAACCTGACCCCAACCCCATCCCTGACCCCAACCTTCACCCTAAACCCCATCCCTACCCCCAACCCCAACCCCAACCCGAACCCCAACCCAACCCCAACCCCAACCCCAATCCCAACTTTAACCCTAACCTCAACCCTCACCCCTACCCCCAACCCAATCCTAACCCCAACCCCAACCCTAACTCCAACCCCAACCCCAACCCTAACCCCAATCCACCCCTAACCCTGACCCTACCCCTGGGCCAGCCCCCACCATTCCCCTCTCCGGGCACGGTGCCCGCGCAGCGCTGTGGGATCACCTCCCCTGCCACCACGGCGCAGGGCCCCTTATTGCAGGCACGAGGGGCTCCGTGCTGGCCCTGTCCGTGCTTCCTGCTGTCCGTCCGTCCGTCCGTCCGCTGTGCCAGGGCTGCGGGCCCCGTGGTGCGGGTGGGCACCGTGCCACCACGGCTGGGGGCTCAGCGCCGCTCCCTGCCGCTGTGCCCCGCTGCACACCCCCGGCACCGCCGCGCCGTGCTCGTTATCCCCGTGGCACGCACCCGCTGCCTGCGGGCAGGAGGGTCCCCGGGACGCAGGGACCCCGCAGGGGACCCACATGCCACCCCCTTCCCAGCAGCTCGGGGACCCCCACCCTGGCCGTGCCATGCCCCGGAGAGGCCGCTGGTTGGTGGCAGAAGCAGCCCCTTTATTGGCAGCATTTACAGAGAAGCAAGGCCCTGCTCCCCCCCCCCAACCCTCTCCCCGTGGCCCCCCGTGGTCCCGGCTCCTCCGTGTCCCCCGGGACCCCCGTGGGGCCGCCCGCGCCCCCTCACTTCGCCGCCTTCTTGGCCGGCACGTCGAAGAGCTCGGCGATGTCCAGCATGGCCTGGCGGATGTTCCTCCCGAAACGCTTCGAGTCCTGCAGCAGCGCCCGCGGCCCCAGTCAGCCAGGGGGGGCCATACCCAGAGAGGGGGGGCAACCCTGCCTCCCCCCCCCCATCCTGCTGTGCCCTGCCCTGCATGTGGCACCCCAGCCCTGGGGACCCCCCCAAGCACCTGTGACTCAACCTGTGTCTCCTGTGACCCCCCAAAACTCTGGGGACCCCCCCAAACCTTGGTACCCCCCATGTCCCTTTGGACCCCCCCGGCAGGTCCTACACAGGCAGCTCCGTGAGCCTGGAGTGTGGTCGGGGTCCCACAGAGAGGGACTGGGATGCAGTGAGGCTCAGCACTGCGTGGGGTTTGGGGGGGACGGGACTGTCCCTGCCCCAGCTGGGGGCCTGCCCAGCCCCCCCCCCCCCGCCCCGGGGACCCCCAGCCCCCAGCCTCAGCCCTCACCGTCTCGGGGCTGGAGTACTTGCTGGAGACGTGGAAGGTGATGAGGTTCTCGCCAGCAATGATGTAGGAGACGCCGTAGCCATCATCGGCGACCTGGGGGGGGACGAGAGGCGGGGATGTGAGCGGGGCCGGGGGAGCCTGGGGTCTGATGGTCCCCCTTGGGGGGTCCCCGTCCCCCTCCCCACAGCCAAGCGACGCTGACCGGGCCGAAGCCGCCGCCGGTGGAGACGTGGTCCGGGTACTTGTCCAGGTCAAACATCTTCAGCTGCTGCTGCGGCGTCTGGCTGGTGGAGAGGCGCCAGGGCTCCGACAGCACCTGTGGGGATGGGGTCACTGCTGCACCCTGCTGCACCCCACTGCACCCTGCTGTGCCCCACTGCACCCCACTGCACCCCACTGCGCCCCACTGCGCCCCACTGCACCCCACTGCGCCCCACTGCACCCTGCTGCACCCTGCTGCGCCCCACTGCGCCCCACTGTGCCCCCCTGCACCTACCCGTGCCCCGCTGCGCCCCACAGCAAAGCGCGCACCCCGGCGCCGTGCCCCGCTCACCTGTGCCAGGAAGGGGGACTCTACCCCCAGGTATCGGGACACCACGTAGAGGCAGAAGAGGTGCCGGTCGATGCCGGCGCCGGTCATGGCCATGCGGTACATGTGCTGGTGCTTCTCCGCCGCCAGCTTGAAGAGCCGCTGGCGCTCGGCACGCTGCGGGGAAAGCCGAGCTCAGGGGCTGGCACACCCCAAAACCTGCCCACCCCGGGGTGCGCTGTGCGGGGGGGGGACGTCCTCTGTCCTGCCTGAGGCTGGCAGCGGCTCCGCAGCTCTGGGGAAATGGTCCCAAGGGACGGGGACATCCCCAAGGGATGAGGACATCCCCAAGGGACAGGGACCTCCATTGGGGTCAGGGCTGTGGAGATGGGTGCTGCCTCCGAGGACCTCCCCGAGGGGCAGGGGCCTCTGCTGGAGACGGGGATGTCCCCAAGGGGAGAGGACATCCCAAAGGGACAGGGATTTGGGTCAAGGCGCGGCGCGAGGGGCGTGTGGCGGCGCGGTGCTCACGCTCTGCCCGGCGTCCCCCATGCTCCGCACGAAGGCGGTCGACTCGGAGGTGCAGGAGCGCACGGTCTCCGTCCGGCCCTCGCGGAAGAGCCGCGTCATGGAGGCCTCGTAGGTGAGGCAGAAGCGGCCCTTGTCCTGCGGAGAGAGGCGGCTGGCAGCGGGCACGGGGGGGGGGGACGCCCACCGGGACCCCCCCGCGCGTCCCCGCGGCGCAGCTCACGCGGAAGTGGGCGAGCTGCAGGGAGATCTGGATGAAGGCGTCGGGGCTGGTGCGGCACTTCTTGATCAGCCCCTTCCCAAAATCCGAGAACTGGAAGCAGCAGAAGTCCACGTCGTCGGCCAGCGCCTTGGCCACGCGGTACGAGCTCTCGATGGCAGCCTGGCACTGCGGGGACACGCGGCCGTGGCGGTGGGCACGGGGCACCAACCGCCCCGGGATGGGTCAGCCCCGATCCCATGGGGCCAGGGCGGCACCGGGTGTTACTGGGAGGCACTGGGTGGCACTGGGTGGCTGTGGGGCAGGGCTGGCTCCAGTGCAGGGACACCACAGGGCACAGGGCCGGGGTGCCTCGGGGCTGCACCCACCTCCTGGGGGATGTCCCACTGCAGGCGCTGGGGTGGTGCCAGCCTCGTGTCGGGGTCCCCCACGCAGTGCCCCCCCTCGGTGTAGCCCAGCTGGAATTTGTCCGTCGCCAGCATGAACTGGGGGGAGGCAGGGACTGAGCTGGGGGCACCGGGCTCACAGTGCCCCCAGCCTCCCCCACACAGCCCCATTCACCCCCCAACCCGTCCCCAGCGTGGCCCCACACACAGCCCTCCTGCAGCCCCATTTGCCCCCCAGGCTGTCCCCTGTGCCCCCCCGGGAGCTTGCTGTGTCCCCAGGATGGTGGTGCCCAGCCCCAGTGTCCCCAGTAGTGGTGCCCAGCCTGGGGATGCCCAGATTTGGGGGGACCAAAGGAGGTGTCCAGTGGGGGGTGCCCAGCTCCAGAGTGCCCAACTGGGGGTGCCCATTTCTGGGGGAGCCCAGTGGGGATGCCCAACGTGGGATACCCAGCTTGGGGGGGTGTGCACCCATTTTGGGGGTGCCCATTTTGGGGATGCCCATTTGGGGAGTGCCCATTTGGGGGTGCCTATTTAGGGGTGTGTGCCCATTTTGGGAGTGCCCATTTTGGGGACACGCATTTTGGGGATGCCCATTTTGGGGGTGCCTATTTAGGGGTGTGTGCCCATTTTGGGGGTGCCCATTTTGGGGCTGCCCATTTTGGGGTGCCTATTTAGGGAGAGGTGCCCATTTGGGGCTGCCCCATGGGGGCGCAGGTCCCCCCCCAGCCGGTACCTCCCAGAGGTGCCCGATGATGGGCGCGTCAGCCCATGAGTGCTCAGCGTTGGCGCCCAGCTTCCCGTTCTTGTAGACCACCAGGGTGAAGGATTTGTCAAACCACCTGTGGGGGGGCGGGCACGGGGTGAGCGGCGCGGTGCCGGGGGGTGTCCCAGGGGTGCGGGGGCTCAGGGAGGGGGGGCCACCCACCGGTCGTAGCACTGCCCGTGCAGCAGGGACTTGGCGTAGGTGTCCATGCAGTCCTCCTGGTCCGCTCTGTAGCCGTGCGCCTCCTCGTCCAGCGTCAGGAAGAAGGCTGCCCGCTCGATGGCATCCAGCGACACCTTGTTCTTGCCCTGGCTGAAGAATTTGGCCCGCGCCTCGGCCCAGGGCACCCTGCGGGCACCCCCAGCGGTGAGGGCGGGCGCCTGGCGATGCCCCCGTGCCCCGGCACCCCCCAGGTGCCACCACCCCGCGGGACACCCAGGTCCCCCCTGTCCCTGCGCCCCCTCCCCGGGCACCTGTCCCCGGCCGTGAGGGCCGCCAGCCGCTCCTCGCCGGGCTGGGGGGGCGAGGGGTCGTCCAGGATGCGCTGGAACTGCAGCTCCAGGTCCCGCGGCTTCAGCAGCTGCCCCCCGTAGTACAGCCACACCTTGTAGAAGCGGCCCTTGTGGTACACGGCCAGGTGCTTGCTGTCCAGCAAGTGCAGCAGCGTGTCTGCGGGGGGGCATCATTGCTCCGCTGCGGCCCCCCCCAGGCACCACGGGACCCCGGGGGGTTGGGGGGCTGAGCCCCCCCGGGGCACCCCCCTGTGTGCAAGGCTCAGGACGGCCCCGCCGGCCACGTACCCGTCTCCTTGCCGGGGATGCGGGTGGTGTTGAACATCCGCTCCGACTGGTAGGAGCACATGGGCACGATGCCCAGCGCCATCATCTGCGGGGGGGCAACGAGAGGGGCTCCCACCCCAGCCCACTGCATCCCCCAGCCCCGCTGCAGCCCCCTGACCCCTTGCCAGCCCCACAGCACTTGCCCCCAGCCCTGCCCCATTATTCCCCTCCCTCCTGTGCCCCAGACCCCCCACCCAGTGCCCCCAGCCTGCCCCGCAGCCCCACTGCCCCCCCCCAGACCCCGTGCCCCCCCCGGTGCTCACGGGAGGGATCTCCCCGCGGTCCAGCTTGCGGCGGTACAGCAGGATGGCGTGCACCACGTTGCCATGCCCGGGCAGCCTGCACGTGGCTGGGCGTCACGTAGAGGAAGTCCTGGGGACAAGGGACAGGCTGGGGGGGCGCACGGGGTCCCCTGCCCGGCACGGTGCGGGTCTGGGAACGTCCCCAGCCGGGGGACGGCGCCGTGGCACCGCCACCCCCCTCACCATGGCGTAGTAGTTGCTGTTGACCATGATGGGGCTGCGGCCACGCAGGTAGATGTACTGCTCCCACCAGTCGCTCACCTGGATGGGGACGTCCAGGTCAGACGGGTCACCGCGGGCAGGGACAGGGACGGGGACGGGGATGGGGACAGGGATGGGGATTGGGGACAGGGACGGGGACAAGAAGGGCAGATGGGGCAATGGACAAGGACAAGGGGTAGGGATGGGGGAACGGGACAGGGACAGGGGACAAAGCAGGGCGAAGGTGGCTGGACAGGGACGTGCAGGTGCAGGGAGAGCAGACACAGACAGTGGGAAGGGGACGTGGGACAGGGGACAGGGGACAGTGGAAGGGGCCAGCCGCAGGAGCAGGGACAGGGAGCGGGGTCAGCCCCTGCCCTCCCCACACTGGGGCTCGGTGCAGGACCCCCCGATCCTGCCCACAGTGACCTTGTTGGGGTCCCCAGGCTGCCCTGGGGGGCAGCGTCCCATCCATCATGTCCCTGTCCCCATCCCCATCTCCTCTGGGCTCAGCAGGGACAGGGGTGGCACGAGGCTGCCCAGGACCATCCCATAACCCACCCCCCCCCAGCAACCTGGGTGCCCCAGGTACCCCACAGAGGGGTGACCACCCCCAGGCCGTGGGGTCACGGCAGCATCCCCCTCCCGGGGGGCTCACGTAGTTGGTGGTCCACCAGGACTTGAGGACCAGGTACTTCTGCAGCCGAGGCGCCGTCTTCTCCTTGAACTCCTTGGCCAGCGCCTCCATCCTGCCGTACTTCTCGTCGTCCATCAGCGGGCGCACGGACTCCAGGTACTGCGGGCAGGGGGCTTGGGTCACCGCCAGTCCCCGGGGGGCTCGGGTCACCGCGTCCCCGCGCCGCTCAGCCCTTACCCTGCGGATGGTGGCCTCCACGGGGGGCACGGGCAGCTTGGGCAGCGAGGTCTGGAAGCTGTAGAGCAGGGGCTTGCGGCCAGACAGCACCTTCATCAGCGCCTGCGGGGCCAGCGCAGAGGCTGGGGGTCAGGGGCTGAGGGGTGCCGGGGGTGCCCACGTGTCCCCCTCCCCACAGCAGCCCCCAGGGTCCCCGGTGCCGTCCTCAACACCAGCGCCCCCGTGGAACACGTGCAATTTGGAGGCACCCGTGGCACGCACCACCCAGATCTTGGTGCTGCGGCTCATCTTGCCGTGGGGCTCGAACATCCAGCCGTGGTAGGACAGGAGCAGCCTCATCGTCTGCCGGAACAGCAGCACAGGCCGACAGCCAGACGCCGGTGGAGAAGAGGACGGCGCTCACGACTGTCCGGCTCTCGGGGCTCAGGAGTTGGCTGCGGGGAGCACGGAGAGGGCTGAGGTGGGGACCGTGACCGCGTGGGGGGCACCACGGGGCTGGGGGGCACACACAGGGTGGGATGTCCCGGGGGGTGTCCCCGTGCTGGGGCCATGCTCACGGTGTTGGGGGACCTGTGGGGTGGGACCCCCGGGGAACACTGCAGGCAGGGGGGGACGTGCCCATAGGGCAGCTGAGGGATGTGGGGCACGGTCCCTTCTTGGGGACACCATGCCCGTGGGGTGGGGGGGCTGTGTGGGGTGCCCAGAGGCTGGGGGCCGGGTGGAGCCCCCCCCGCTCACCTCTCAGGCAGGAAGCAGCGGATGCGGGCGATCAGCCCCATGGAGGGGTCCACCTGGCAGTAGAAGGAGCCGGCGGTGGCCATCACCACCACCATCCAGCTGGAGGGGGACGCGGGGTAGACGCCGGTCAGGAAGCTGTTCTGTGGGCACAGGGGGGTCAGGGTGGCGTTGGTGGTGGGGCGGCAGGGACCACCTGGCCCTGCAGTCCCCCCCCGGGCCCACCTTGGCGCGGACGAAGCGCTTCTTCCAGGAGGAGATGCCGGCGAGGTAGAGCTGCTTGACGGCCTCGCGGCTGAGGTGGAAATCTAAGCCCTCGGGGGTGACGGTGAACTGGAAGGCCACGGCCTGGTGGGCTTCTGCCATCTTGGGGGGCTGCTGGCACCTGGGGGCGCGCGGGGGTGGCTGAGCGCGGGGATGGTGCCTGGGGATGGCCACACCTGGCACCGGGCGCCAGGTTCCGCGGTGCCGTGGCGCCGGGCGCCACCCGGAACACCCCATGACGCTGCTGGCATCGCAGCCCCCCCTGCGCCCCCCCCGGTGTCACCGGGGCCACCGTGCACCGGGACGGTCACGCTGCGTGCCAGCGGTGCTGCCAGGAGAGCTGCGTCACGTCGGCCCTGGCCAGGCCCCGCAGCCACGTGCGCGTGCCCGCGGGGGGGGCCCCGTCCCAATCACATGGGGCTGGACGGGTGCCCAGTGAGGGAAGGGTCAGGCACCGTCCCGCTGCCCCTAAACACGCCGCCGAGGGGGCAGACGCACAGACACACCCCCGCAGCGCACCCGGCTGCATGGGGAACGGGGGACACAGCAGCATCAGCCCCCTGATGCCACACCGTGAACCCCCACAGCCCAGAACTCTGGGGGAGGGGGCTATGGCACAAGCTGGGCCCCCCCATGGCCCTCCGTGCCCAGGGTCCCCTCCCTCGGGGTGCACAGGCAGAGCCCCTGCTGTTGTGTGGGGCGCAGGCTCCTGCTGGTGTCGGCACAGCCGGCTCAGTGCGGTGGCATGGGGGGAGCCACGGAGCTGCCCCCCCCCCGGCGCGTGAGCAGGAGGTGCCCTTCTGCAAGGGCGTCCTTGGGCTGACGGCAAACAGCAGCACGGCGAGAGCCAGGAGTCCTGCAGCTGCCACGGCACCGCGCGGCACCGCGCTGGGGTGCGACGCTGCACGGCACCGCAGGGCACGGCACCGCAGGGCACGGCACCGCAGGGCACGGCACCGGCTGCACGGCACCAAGCGCACAGCGCAGCACCACGCTGCAGCACAGCAGGGCCTGTGAGGCTGCACTGCTCCCCGCTGCGCTGCATTAAACTGGGTTGCATTAAACTGCATCGCACTGCACCGAGCTGCACGGCACCCTCTGAACTCATCACACCACACGGCACGGCACTGCAGGGCATAGCATGGCACGGCGTGGCACTGCAAGGGCTCTGCACGGCATGGCACGCTGCACGGCACTGCAGGGGATGGCACAGCACTGCACAGCACTGCACGGCACTGCACGGCACTGCATGGCACTGCAGGGCACTGCAGGGCATGGCACAGCACCCCCTGTACCGCAGGCCCCAGGGGACCCACATGCCCTGGCCGCTCTGCCCTCTCCTCACGCCCAGCAGCCACCGAGCGTCACAAGGTCACCGGGGCGGTCACCGGGGCGGTGCGGCACCCGGGGGACACCCTGGGGGACACCCCAGGGACACAGCTGCAGCTGCCCAGCCCACGGGGAACCCTGCCCGGGGCTCGGCTCCTGGGGACTATGGGGTCACCCGACGGGGCGCAGTGACCAGGGCGCAGTGACCAGGGCGCAGTGGGACCAGGGCGCACCGGGACAGGGTGCAGTGGGACGGGGCACAGAGGGGCTGGCCAGCACAGGGGTACCCAGAGCCCCCTGGGACCCCCGAGGGACACAAGGGGACGCAGGGGACACAAGGGGGACCCGGCGGACAGTCCCCAAGCGGCAGCAGCGCGAGGGCACGGCCCCGGAGGGGGCCCGGTGCGGGCCGGGGGCAGCGGCTCGGCGGCGCCCCGGGGCTCCCCCAGCCCCGAGCGGACCCCGACCCCCCTCGGGGCCTCCCCCAGGCCCGGGTGCCGCGGGCGCCCCCGCCCGCCCCGCAGTGCCCGGTACCTGCTCGGGGGGTGCGAACGGCGAGGGGCAGAGCCCCGGGGACGGCGCCTCCGTGCGCCCGCTGCGCCCCGGGGACGGCGGCTCCGTGCGCCCCGCGCCGCGCCCCGGGGGGCTGTAACCGGACACGGGCGGGGGGGCGGCCCCGAGACATGGCCCGAAATGGCCGGGGCCGCCCGGCCGCTCCTCCCCCGGGACCCGCCTCGCCCGCGCCCCCCCTCCCCTCACCGGGGACCCGGCACCCGGAGGGACCCCTCCCCGCGGACCCCCGGCCGGGAGGGGACCGGCGCCCCCCGGGGACCCCCAGCTCCCCGCACCCCCACGCCCGTGGCCCCGTCCCGCTGCGTGGGGGCCCCGGCGTGGATCCACCGCGCTGGGGGGGAGCCGGGGGGGGGCCTTGCGCAGGGCCCGGCCCCACGCGTGCACCTGCCGGGACCGGGGCTCGTCCGCCCCGCAGGGCCCGGGGGGAGCCCCCCCGGTAACCCCGGCAGCTGCTGCCGCGGGGGGGGGGACTATAAATAACCAGGGACGGGACCGGGAGGAGCGGGGGCAGCGCGCCCCGGGGCGCCCCCCCGTGGGGCTCCGCGCCCGGGGCAGGGGGTCCCAGGGTTAGGTGGGGGTCCCAGGACCGGGGGGGGGGCAGGGGGCGTCCCGTCCCGGCCGCACGTTCCCCCGACGGGCTCGCAGTGTCCTCCGGAGCCCCCCCGTTCCCGGTCACCCCCCCCCAGCAGCAGCTCCGTCTCCATGCCCGCACGGAGGGCAGGGTGGGCGCTCTGCTCCTGTCCCCGTCCCCACGCGCCCCCCCCGCCCGGCCCCCACCCCACATCCCCGTGGGGCTGGGCTCTGCCCCCCCCTCCCTGCCCGCAGACATCCCCTCCCCATGCACCCCACTGGTGAGCCGGGGGGGGGTCCTGTGGGGCAATGGCCCTACAGGGGCTGGGGGCTGTCCCAGGGGAGCCAGGAGGGGACCCGGGGGTTGGGGTCCGGGCGCTGTGGGGTGCAGGGGGCGCAGAGCCCGGGGGGTGCTGCAGAAGCTGAAGCCACTCGCAAGGCAAAGCCACGACCCCCCCGCAGCCAGCAGGCACCGAGCAGGGGGAGGCCACCCCGAAGCCCCCCCCATGTGCCCGGGCAGAGCTGTGAGCACCGCCTGAACTGGCTGGGTGGCAAGCAGAGCCCCCCCCTGGGGCTGCACACACCTGGCCCCCTCCCCAGAACCTGCAGGGCAAAGGGGGCAACGCCACGGGGGGAGCAGACAGCGAGCAGCCCCCGTGCACCAGCGCAGTGTTTATTGGTCCAGGACTGTACATTCTGCTGTCGGGGGGCCCCCAGCCCCCAGCCCCCAGCCCCCAGCCCCCCCCCCCGAGCCGAGCAGCGGCTGCGCAGCCAAGGCAGCGAGGAGCCAGGCAGGGGGGCACAGGGGGGGCACAGAGCAGCTCGGGGGTCCTGCCTGGCCCCAGATGGTGGGGGAAAGCTGGGGGGGGTGAGATGCATGTGCAGAGCCCCCCCTGCCCCCAGCACCCCCACGCGCAGCCCTTGCAGGGCGCAGGACCACCCGTGGCCACCCGCGACCCCTCCTGGTCCGGGGGGCACCGAGGGGGTCCCACCAGTGCCGTGCCCATGGCTCCAACCCCCCCCCCCGTGCTGCAGGGGGAGGTCAGGGCTGAAGGGGCGGGGGGGGCTGCAGAGGCTGGGGGGGGTCTGCAGAGGCTGGGGGGGTCTTCAGAGGCACTGGGGGGGCAGCAGGGGCTGCAGCCTCCTTTGCCTACAGCAGTGATGGTGAAGGCGAAGCCCCGGGCCTGTGTCCCCTCTTTGGGGGGGGGGAATCCCCTTTTTTGGGGGGGGCCATCCCCTTTCCCCTCACACCCAGGCAGCCCCGCAGCTCACCCCATGCCCCGACGCAGCCCCGTCCCCTGCCCCGTCCCCATCCTCCAGGGGGGCAGCCACGGCAGGGACCAGCCCCACGGCCGCCTCCTGCAGCCCCCGTGGGAGGGGGGCAGCGTCTGTGGCCCCACGGCACGGTCGGGGGGCTGGGGGGGGGGCGCAGGCAGGGCCGGGGATCCGTTGGGTCTCAGCAGCACTGCGCCTTGTGCTGGAAATAGGCCTCGAAGCGGCTCTGGGCATAGTCCTGGGGGGGGAGAAAGGGGTCAGTGAGGACCTGTCCCCCCCCCACACCTCCACCCACACCCCCAGCAGGGCTGCGAGGGGAGCACCGCGACCCCTGGGGGTCACCCCCTAACCCCCCCTGCTCCTGGCTCCTGGCTGCTCGGAGCCCTCCCTGCCCCGCTGCCCTGTGCTGGGGGGGGGGCGATGAGCAGCAGAGCCCCAGGGCAGCCCCGCATGGGGGCTGGGCCCCTCCCTGCACCCCCCCGGCCCCCCCAGGGGCAGCACTCACCAGGTACCCGAACTCGATGGTGGAGATCTTCGCCTGCAGGATGGACCAGAGGCCCCAGAAGAAGTGCGAGGCCAAAGCGAACCTGGGGGGAGCGCAGCCCTCAGCCCCCCCGGCCCCCAGCAGGGCGAGCGGGGAGGGGAGGGGTGGGGGGCGGCCCGGGGGTGCCCCCAGCCCCGCGCCCCTCACCGGTTGATCTCTGTCAGCATCTCCTCCTCGATGCGAGCCTGCTCCTCGTGCGTCGTGTCCCCGCGCCGCCCCGAATCCTCCGAGAGGTAGTGCCGGATGAAATGTAGCTGGGGGGGGGCGAGCAGCGGGCTGGGACACAACGAGGGGAGGGCGCCCCCCCCTCCTGCAGCCCCCCGGGGGGCGACACGGCTCACCTGCTGCTGCCGGCTGGGGTAGTTCTCCAGGGAAGCCTTGTAGTAGGGCCAGGAGCCGTGTGTGTAGTTGTAGACCCACTCGCAGAAGTGGTTCCCGATGTCAAAGCCGCTGGGGGGGGGCGGGAGCCGGGGGTGAGCGGGGAGCTGCCCGTTTTGGGGGGGGTGCAGCCCCCCCGCAGGCCCCGTGCCCACCGGTAGTTGTAGCTGCTGTACTCGAAGTCGATGAGCATCAGCTTGTCCGAGGGGGAAGGCCTCGTGCCCGGCCAGCAGCAGGATATTCCCTGGGGACAGGGACAGGGGACAGGGACCAGGAGGGGTCAGGGGGACGGGGACAGGGACCATGGACGGGTCAGGGGGACAGGGACAGGGACCGGGACGGGTCAGGGGGACTGGGGACAGGGACAGGGAGCGGGGCACGGCCGCAGGGCGCTGGGCACTCACCCTCCTGCACGTCGTTGTGGCAGAAGACGACCGGCGAGGGGGTGGCCTCCAGCAGCTCCCTGCAGGGGGGGCAGAGCTCGGCGTCACCCCTCGCCCAGTCCCCTGCCACCCCACTGAGCTGAGACCCCCCCGGAGACCCCCCCGAGGTCCCCGTGCTGACCTGAGGCTCTTCATCTCCTGCTGCAGGTTGTAGGACTTCAGCTGGTTCAGCTTCTTCAGCTGCGCCTCCTCGGAGAAGGTGAGCTCCGAAATCTGCTTCAGGTACCTGGGGCGCGGGATGGGGGAGGCTGCAGCCCCCCTGCGCCCCCCCCTCCCCCGAGCCCCGGGGATTTTGGGGCTGGGGGCGGCTGCCCCGCAGGAGCCCTCACCACTCCATGGTCCCGAAGAGCCACTTGGGCTCCTTGTTGAAGGGCATCACCATGCCATGGAAGCGCGACATCTTCACCGCGATCTCCCTGGAGATGTCGGGGTCCCGCAGGTCCTCGGTCCGCAGCCGGCGGCTCTGGGGACGGGCAGCGGGGTCAGCAAGGGGGGCAGCGGGGGACCCCTGACCCATATCGCCCCGTGTCACCCTGTACTGCCCCATATTGCCCCATATTGCCCCATGTCACCCCATATTGCCCTGGATCACCCCATACTGCCCCATGTCACCTTGTCCTACCCTGTACTGCCCCATATCATTCCATATCGCCCCGTATCGCCCTGTCCTGCCCCGTACCACCCCATATCACCCCATTCTGTCCCATATTGCCCTGTACTACCCCATATCATTCTCTGTTGCCCTGTATCAGCCCGTGCCACACCATACCACCCCATATCGCTCTGCATCGCCCCATACTGCCCTGTATTGTTCCATATCACCTTGTATCATTCCATATTGCCCCATACTGCCCCGTCTCATCCCATACTGCCCCATATTGCCCCGTACTGCCCCATATTGCTCTATATTACCCTGTATCGCCCTGTCCTGCCCCGTACCACCCCATATCACCCCGTATTGCCCTGTAATGTCCTATATTGCCCTGTCTCACTCCATATCGCCCTGTATCACCCCATACTCCCCTGTATTGCTCCATATCTTCCCATATCGCCCCATACTGCCCTGTATTGTTCCATATCACCCTGTATCACCCCACACTGCCCTGTATTGCTCCGTATTGTCCCATATCGCCCCGTATCACCCTGTAGCACCCTGTTTTGCTCCGTATCACCCTGTATCACTCCATATTGTCCTGTACTGCCTTGTCTCGCCTATACTGCCCCATATCGCTCCATATTGCCCTGTACCACCCCGTCTCATCCCATACTGCCCCATATTGCTCCGTATCACCCCGTATCACTTTATACTGCCCCATATTGCCCTGTCTCACCCCGTACTGCCCCATACTGCCTGTCTCACCCCGTATCACTCCATACTGTCCTGTACTGCCCCGTCTCACCCTGTACTGCCCCATACTGCCCGTCTCACCCCATATCACTCCATACTGCCCCGTACTGCCCCGTCTCACCCTGTACTGCCCCATAATGCTCCATATCACCCTGTATCACTCCATACTGCCCCGTCTCACCTCATACTGCCCCATATTGCCCTATCTCACCCCATATCACTCCATACTGCCCCGTACTGCCCCGTCTCACCCTGTACTGCCCCATATTGCCCTATCTCACCCCATATCACTCCATACTGCCCCGTACTGCCCCGTGTCACCCCGTACTGCCCCATATTGCCCCGTCCCACCCCGTATCACTCCATACTGCCCCGTCTCACCCCGTACTGCCCCATATCGCCCCGTCCCGCCCCGTGCCGTACCGGGATGTACTGCTCCAGCCGCCCCTGGGGGAAGACGCCGTAGAGCCGCGGCCCCAGCGCGCGCTCGGCCAGGATGGCGAACATCACGCTCTCCAGCACCAGCGAGTCCACGCCCTGCGGACGGGGCCGGTGAGCGGCGGCGGGGCCGGGGGTCCCGGGGGGGGGTCCCAGGGTGGGGGTCTCACCTGCAAGATGGCCCCGTAGACGCGCAGCAGCACCTGCCGGGGCTCGTCGCCCACGCTGAGGATGTGCTCGGGCAGCGCGCACTTGAAGAGCAGGTTGCTGAGCCCCCCGCTGCGGGCACCGCACGGAACGGGTCGGGGGCGGGCACGGAGCCACCGGGAACGGGGGGGGGGTAACGGGGAGGGGGCACCGGGGGGCTGCGGGCACCGGGACTGGGGGCTGGGGGACCGGGAACAGCGGGCAGGGGGCACCGGGATGGCGGTGGTCTGGGGGCTGGCGGGGACACGGCGGGGCACGGGGCCGGGAGGGGACCGGGGGGGGACCGGGGGGGGACCGGGGGCACCGGAGGGGGCACGGAGCGGGGCACCGGGGGTGGGGACACGGGGGGGGGGGCGGCAGGGACGCGAGGGGACCGGGGGCGGGGGGCGGGGAGGTGCCGGTTCCGGGTCCGTTCCCGGTTCCGGTTCCCGGTGCCGGTTCCGTTCCCGGTTCCATTCCGGTTCCGGTTCCGGTTCCGGTTCCGTTCCGGTTCCGTTCCCGGTTCCGGTTCCCGGTGCTGGTTCCGGTTCCGGTTCCGGTTCCGGTTCCGGTTCCGGTTCCCGGTTCCGGTTCCCGGTTCCGGTGCCGGTTCCGGTTCCGTCCGTACCTGACGGGCCCGATGACGAACTCGTCGGGCCGATGAGCTTCCAGGAGCCGGCCAGGAACTCTCGGCACCAGGCGTAGGCCCTCAGCCGGGTGGCGGCGGGCACAGCCCCGGCCCCGCTCCCGGTCCCCGTCCCGGTCCCGGCGCCGTCCCCGCTCCCCGCCGCCATGGCCGCCATGGCCGCCTGGCCCCGCCCCTCGCCTCCCATTGGCCGGCGTGGCGGGGGGCGTGGCTGGCGCGGCCCAATGGGGGCGGCGCGGCGGCGGTGACGTCACGTGGCGCGGGCGGGATGCGGCGCAACGTGGAGCTGAAGGCGCGGCTGCGGCGGGGGGTGGCGGGGACACAGCGGGGGGCGGCGGAGCGCAGCGGGACCCCGGGCACCGAGCTCAGGCAGGAGGACACCTTCTTCAGGGTGCCCGCGGGGAGGCTCAAGCTGCGACGGTTCCCTGTGAGAGCGGGACCGGGGGGGAACCGGGAGTACCGGGGGGAACTGGGGAGAACCGGGGAGGGACTGGGAGTACTGGGGGGGCTGTACGGGGATGGGACCCGGGGGAGGAGAGGGGAGTACCGGGACCGGGAGTACTGGGGAGGATACTGGGACCCGGTACTGGAAGCCCGGTACTGGGACCCGGTACTGGGACCCGGTACTGGGAGCCCGTACTGGGACCCGGTACTGGGAGCCCGGTACTGGGACCCGGTACTGGGAGCCCGTACTGGGACCCGGTACTGGGAGCCCGGTACTGGGACCCGGTACTGGGACCCGGTACTGGGAGCCCGTACTGGGACCCGGTACTGGGAGCCCGGTACTGGGAGCCCGGTACTGGGAGCCCGTACTGGGACCCGGTACTGGGAACCCGTACTGGGACCCGGTACTGGGAGCCCCGTACTGGGAGCCCCGTACTGGGAGCCCCGTACTGGGAGCCCGTACTGGGAGCCCGTACTGGGACCCGGTACTGGGAACCCGTACTGGGACCCGGTACTGGGAACCCGTACTGGGAGCCGGTACTGGGAGCCCCGTACTGGGAGCCCCGTACTGGGAGCCCCGTACTGGGAGCCTGTACTGGGAGCCTGTACTGGGAGCCCGTACTGGGACCCGGTACTGAGAGCCCGTACTGGGAGCCCCGTACTGGGAGCCCCGTACTGGGACCCGGTACTGGGAGCCCGTACTGGGACCCGGTACTGAGAGCCCGTACTGGGACCCGGTACTGGGAGCCCGGTACTGGGAGCCCATACTGGGACCCGGTACTGGGACCCGGTACTGGGACCCGGTACTGGGAGCCCGTACTGGGAGCCCGTACTGGGACCCGGTACTGGGACCCGGTACTGGGACCCGGTACTGGGACCCGGTACTGGGAGCCCGTACTGGGAGCCCCTACTGGGAGCCCCTACTGGGAGCCCGGTACTGGGAGCCCGGTACTGGGAGCCCGGTACTGGGACCCGGTACTGGGAGCCCGGTACTGGGAGCCCCGTACTGGGAGCCCCGTACTGGGAGCCCGGTACTGGGAGCCCGGTACTGCGAGCCCGTACTGGGACCCGGTACTGGGAGCCCCGTACTGGGACCCGGTACTGGGAGCCCGTACTGGGACCCGGTACTGGGAGCCCGGTACTGGGAGCCCGGTACTGGGACCCGGTACTGGGACCCGGTACTGGGACCCGGTACTGGGACCCGGTACTGGGAGCCCGTACTGGGAGCGGGGGGTGTATGGGGATGGGGCTCAGGGAAGGTGGGGGGAAGGGACCGGAGGGGGAGGACCCCAGGGGGAGGGAGGGGAACCCGGGGGAAGCAGAGGGAGAGGGGTCCGGGGGGGGCACGGGGAGGGGTCTCAGGATGTGGGGGAGGTGGGGATGGGGTACGGGGGGGGCTGCGCTGGGATGGGACCTGTGTGAGGGGTGGGACAGGGGAGGGGACCCCAGGTGGGGCAACTGGGGGTGGGGAGGGGAATGGGGGAATATGGGAGGGGGCAGGTGGGGATGGGGGGTGGGATGCTGAGGGGGGGGGTACGGGGTCTGTCCCTGCAGGGGACAGGACCTGGGGGTGGTATGGGGGGGGCAGGAGATGGGACCCCATGGGGAGGGGGCACAGGGGAGTGGGGTATGGGTGGTAGGATTTGGGGGGTGACAGGGGATGGGAAGTGGGGGGGGTACTGGGTACAGGGCCTGGGGGGGGTACAGGGGATGGGAATGGGGAGGTGGGTTTGGGGTACAGGGTTTGGGGGGGGGCTACAGGGGATGGGACCTGGGGGAGCAGCGGGCACAGGGTATGGGACCAGTATGGGTGTGGGACTGAGACTGGGAGGCTGTGTGAGGCCCGGTTTGGTGCTGGGACTTGGGGGGGGGGGAGGACACGGACTGACCCTCCCCAGTGCCCCCCCAGGACGGCCGAGGCGAGCTCATCTTCTACGAGCGCCCCGACACCGCGGGCCCCAAGCTGTCCCAGTTCAGCATCACCCCCACGGATGACCCCGATGGGCTGGAGGTGAGCACCGGGGCTGCCCCACAGCCCCTGGGGGGCGGGGGTCCCGCTGCGGGTCCCCAACCCCCCCCCCCCCCCCCGACCTCCCCGGGACCCCTGCAGGCGGTGCTGGCGCGGGCGCTGGGCGTGCTGGGCGTGGTGAGGAAGCGGCGGCTGCTCTACCTGGTGGGGCAGACACGGGTGCACCTGGACAGCGTGGAGGGGCTGGGGGACTTCCTGGAGCTGGAGGTGAGCCGGGCCCCCCCCCGGTGTCCCCTCACCCCCCCGGTGTCCCCTCACCCCCCCCCCCGGTGTCCCCTCACCCCCCCCCCGTTGCCCCAGGTGGTGCTGAGCGAGGAGCAGAGCGTGGAGCACGGCGAGCGCGTGGCCCGCGAGCTGATGGCAGAGCTGGGGGTGCAGGACGAGGACCTGGTCACCGGCGCCTACCTGGACCTCCTGCTGGCCAAGGGGGGGGGCGCCAGCCCCTGAGGGTGTGGGGGGGGGCTGCACTGTGCTCCCCCCGCTGCCTGGGGGGGCCTGGGTCCTGCTCTCCCTGCAGGCACCGGCAGCCCCCTGCCCTGGGGTGCCCAATAAAGGCTGCGGCAGCGTTTTGGTGCCTGGGATCGGCTGTGCCCTCATACTGGGACCGGGGGGGGGACACAGCCCTGGGGGGGTCAGAGGGGGACAGGACGGTGGCGTGCAGGAGGCTCTGTCCCAGCAGAGCTTGGCCCTAAGCCCGGATCATGTCCTCCCCCTGTGGAGCCCTGCCCGGTGCTGCTGTGGGTGGGGGGGGGCTCGGGGCTGTGGTCAGCCGGGGGGGTGGGCTGGGGGGGGTGGTGGTGCCACTTCCACCCCCCCACCCCATTTGGCTGCTGCCACAGCGTTGTATGGGGTTGTATAGGGCTGGGGCTGCCCTAATCTGCACTGCGGGAGGCAGGGCTGGGGTCTGGTGTCCCTGGGGGGGGTCTGGGGGTGGTGGGGGCAGTGCTGGACCCCTGGGACAGACGGGCTGGGGGGGGGGGACACTGCAGGGGGCTGCAGACCCTGGCACTGGGGTCTGGGGCTGGGAAGGGGGTGCAGGGAGCTGGCCCCATACGGGCAGGGAGCTGGGGGAGTCTCGGTGCTCCCAAACTGGGGCAGCCCCCTCTGACCCCCCCCGGGCACTCACAAAGCCCCAGTGGCATGGGGGGGAGCTGGGTGCCCCCCGGCTTTGTCCTCCCCAGGGACAGTGCCTCTGGGCCTCCAGCAGTGGGTCCCAAACCCTGTCCTGTGTTCAGGGGGCACCCTCGGGGGGGGGGGGCACGTCCTGGGGGGGCTGTGCCACTGGGAGCCGGTACCTTGGAGGCTGTGGTACCATTGGATGGGGGGGGGGGGCTCAGCACGGTGCCATGGCACAGTTGGATGGGGGGGGGGTCCCGGCTGGCCCTGCTGTGAGCCTGTCCCAGCATTGCCCAAGTGGCTGCAGGGAGGGGTGGGCGCCCCGGCCCCCCACCCCCAGGCCATTGCCCCCCCCAGCACGAGCTGCTCCCTGGCACATGGATCCCCCCCAGCCCTGCGCAGCCTCACGGCCTCATCTCTGCGGCCTCCAGCACCCAGAGCTCTTCCTGCCCCCCCCCCGGTCCTCCCCTGAGGACCCTTGGGTGCTGCTTCCCTGGGACCCCCCCCGGCCTCTGGGGACCCCCCAATTACAGCTCTCTGCCCCTCTGTGCTCCCACCACGTTGCACCCCCCGCAGCACACGGGGTGCCCTCGCTGCCTGACCTCCCCCTGCCCATTTGGGGCCCCCCCACCTCCACATCCTGGGGGGCACCTCTGGTTCCTGCAGCCCCCCCCTCACCCTGCCCCATCACTGCACGGCTGCACAAGCCTCCTGAGCTCCCTGTTGCCCCCCTGCACCCCGTGTCCCCCCCCAGCAGGGTCGGGGGAGGCGATCGTCCCGCTCTGCCCTGCGCTGTGCGGCTTCACCCTGAGCACTGGGCAGCGCTGGGCACCCCAGCACAAAAAGGGACGCAAAACTGGAGGGGAGGGCGATGAGGGTGGGGAAGGACACACTGGGACAGGCTGCCCAGGGACGCGGTCACTGCAACCGAGCCTGTTGGGATTTAGGAAGCGATTGGGCTGTGCACTGAGGAACAGGGTCTAAAATTTTGGGTAGATCTGTGTGGTGCCAGGAGTTGGACTCCGGGATCCTTGTGGTCCCTTCCAGTTTTGGGACATTCTGTGATTGTGGATCCTGGACATCTCCTGGCCCCCAGCACCGGGACAGCCCCCGGCCTCCGAAGAGAGTGACCCCCCAGCCTCCAGCACCGGTCCTGGACGTGTCCCGGCCCCCAGCACCATGCCGTCTGCTGGTCTCCAGCACTGGGTCCTGGACAGCTCCCGGCCCCCATCCCCGGCTCCCTCCTGCCCCTGGCCCCGGTTCAGCACCGGCTCCCGGACAGCTCCCGGCCTCCAGCACCCGGGCCCTGGACAGCTCCCGGCCCCCAGGACCGGCCTCCCGACCTCCCCCCGTGTCCTCCCCTGCCCCCCCCCACCCCGACACCCCTCCCCTCGCCTGAGCCCCCCCCCAAGCCCCGTGTGCACCCCCTCCCCTCGCCCACCCCCACCCCTAGCGGCTCCCCAGCCCCCCCGCGGACCCCCCCCCCCCACCCTCCCTCCCCCTCCACCCCCCGTGCGGAGCCCCCCGGCCCCTCCCCACCCCTTTTCCTTCCCCCCCCCGGCC